TTATTATATTTACAAATACAAATAACTAAATAGCTAATAAGATAACATAATTATACGAAAACACAAATACTAAATTAAAAATTATATTTTAAATAATAAAATTATGTTACCCAATTAATTTTTTTGTTTTAAATTATTTTAAAGCTAAACTAAATTATTAATACAGACTCGCGCGTAGCGCGAGTATAAAATCTAGTATATATATATAGTAATTAACAAGATTTTACTCTTAATGCGTGTATTTGGCTAGAGAGAGCTAAAGCTTTGAGACTGATTTCTATATAAGCTTCTTTTTTTTTTTAATTTTTATATAAGTTCTTCAAAAGCTTTTGCTTCAGCACGTCTCTCCATTTACATCTTGGGGTCATGGAGTAAACGATTTGACTTGACCATATTTTGGTTTAGAGCTAATCTCTAGTTTTTTTTCCTATGATTATGGTTATCACATACTCATAAACAGGCGAAGAATATATATATATATATATATATATATATTCTCTTAAACTAATCAAGTCTCTTATGCGATTATTTTTAAATAATTATGTTGATGTAGAGATCATTTTTGAAGATTTATCTTCCTCAGTTATTAGCGGTCAAGTCAACTTTGAGGAAGGTTAACACGCTGGTTATAAACTATTCTTCCTTAAGTTGATCTTGACAATAATATTATTATATATATAGAGAAGACGTGTAATGTAATTCATAAACTTGTAAATTTAATCAGTTGACTTTGAAGTCATACTCAAATCCATCGCTGTCTTGACTAGGACATGTGTTTGAAAGTCTTACCAACGAAAAAGGCATTATACCCGTAAAGATTCTAAATCATTCATCTTCAACGAGTCTAACAACAACCATTTGGAGCATAGAAACCAAAAAGAAATTAAACAAAACTCTCTAAAATTTTCATTACCAATGATTCGAGGATTACTTCTTGGAATCATCTTGATGTTATCCTCTGTTTACCCATCATTTCAACAAGACACAACGTTTGTCTACAACGGCTTCGACCAAGAAGATCATCATCGTCTTCATCTTGATGGTAGTGCAACAATCCTTCCAAAAAAACATGTCCTGCAACTTACAAATGCAACAACAACGCAAATAGGTCATGCTTTCTTCGAGGAGCCTATTGACTTCAACTCATCTGAACAAGTTTCCTTCTCCACACATTTCGTGTGTGCGCTGCTCCCTGTAGGTGCGACCAGTGGCCACGGCATGGCGTTCTTTGTGTCTCACTCCACTGACTTCAAAGGCGCGGAACCTAGTAGATTCTTCGGTCTTTTCAACGCAAATGAATCCGCTTCCACACGTGTTTTGGCTGTTGAGCTTGATATAGCTAAAGCTCCAGATGTGGGAGACATCAGTGATAATCACGTTGGGATTGATGTGAACAGCGCAAAGTCTGTGATCTCTGCTAACGCATCTTATTTTTCAGACAAGAAAGGTAGAGATGTAGACATTAAACTGTTAAGTGGAGATCCTATTCAAGTTTGGGTGGATTACGAAGGAACAACACTCAATGTTACATTGGCTCCACTTGGAAAACAGAAACCAAGCCGACCTCTCTTGTCATCAACATCCATCAATCTTACCGAGATTGTGCAAGGTAGAAGAATGTTTGTGGGGTTTTCTGGTGCAACCGGGTCAACCATGACTTACCAGTATATACTTGGGTGGAGTTTTAGCAAAAGTATGGTGTCACTGCAGAAGATTAACGTCTCAAAGCTTCCCAAAGTTTCCCATCCTAATAAAAAGAAGTCTACATCTCTGGTGCTTGATGCTCTGCTTGGTTTAATAGCTTTCTTAGTTTTGAGTCTTCTTGCTGGAGCAGCTTATATGTATAGGAAGAACTTGTACTCGGAAGTAAGAGAGGAATGGGAAAAGGAATATGGTCCATTCAGGTTCTCCTACAAATCTCTATACAAAGCAACTAAAGGGTTCAGTAGAAATGAGTTTCTTGGGAGAGGAGGTTTTGGTGAAGTCTACAAAGGAATATTCCCTCAGAGCATGGAGTTAAGAGAAGTGGCTGTGAAGAAAGTATTACATAACGGTGAGCAAGGTATGAAGGAGTTTGTCGCTGAGATCGTTTGCATGAGGAGGCTAAAACATAGGAATTTGGTGCCACTTCTTGGGTATTGTAGGAGGAAACATGAGTTATTATTAGTCTCTGAGTACATGCCAAATGGTAGCCTTGACCATTACTTGTTTGATTATGATAGACCAACTCTCCCTTGGTGTAGAAGATTTTTCATTCTCAATGACATTGCCTTAGCTCTTAGTTACTTACACACAGAAGCTGACCAAGTTGTTATCCACAGAGATATCAAAGCTTCTAACGTTATGTTGGACGCAGAGTTTAATGGAAGGTTGGGAGATTTTGGTATGTCAAGGTTATATGACAGAGGGACTGATCCAACAACCACAACAGGTGCAGTTGGAACAGTTGGTTACATGGCACCAGAGCTTACAACAATGGGACCTTCCACTAGAACTGATGTATATGCCTTTGGTGTTTTCTTGCTTGAGGTAACTTGTGGGAGGAGACCTGTGGAGCCTGGCCTGTCAGCTGCAAAGCGGTTTCTGATCAAATGGGTTTGTGATTGCTGGAAAAGATCTTCTTTGATTGATGCTGTAGATCCAAGGTTGACAGAGTTCTCACCAAAGGAAGTGGAGAGGGTTCTGAAAGTTGGTTTGCTCTGTGCAAATCTTGCTCCAGATGCAAGACCGTCCATAGAACTAGTGGTGCAGTACTTAAACGGAAACCTTGCTTTGCCTGAGTTTTGGCCATATTCTCCTGGAATTGGAGTTCTCACCCCACCAGCACAGCTCATTGTCCCTTCACTATCACACTCTTCTTCCTCTTCCAACAACTCTATGTTTATGACTCACTCGGTCGTCTACGGGAGTGGACGATGATTTTTTTTAACAACTTCCCTCATCTAGTGGCCTCTTAAGTTTCATCACATGCTCAAATAATGTATATTCTTTGCATTCTCCATCAAGCTTGACCAGTAGAGTAGTGTGGAAAATGACTGATATTTTGTGTAAATTATTGAGAGTACTTTTCGGAATATATATATAAACAAGTTTGTTGTCACTCTTTCATTCAAGGCATGAGCCAATTATAGATAAAGACATCAAGCGTCATAGATTTTCCAAAATCTTGATCTTTCTCTGAGGTACATTCATCAATTTGTTGTTCCTCTGAAAATTGTTAACCGATTGTCTTTGTTTCTGTTGTGAGAGAGGTGATACACAATCTGACTTTTAAATTATAAATTTTAAGTGTTAGATTATGTTGGAGAGACTGACAAACATGAAAAACACAAAAGTTTAGTGCTCAACCTTAATAGTTTTAGATCTCAGGTACCTGCAATGTATCATTTGCGTATGAATCATCATAAAACCTATTTTCATATAATTTTCTTCAAAATTTTTAGGGGCTTGAGACGAATGTTTCACTAGCATGCCCCAGGGCCCGGCCATGTATACCTCATATAAATACAGTTCAAGCTTTTAGAAAATCCCTAATGCTTTACTGTCTTTAATATATAGTAGCCTCATGCCATGAATGAAGAGTGACACCAACTTGCTTTATAAATATCTCAAAGTAATCTCAAAAATTTACACAAAACATCAGTAATCTTCTTATATGGTTCTACCAGTCAAGCTTGATGGAAAATTTTAAGAATGGACATGGTGTGAGCATATAATGAAACAAAAAATCAAGTACAAAGGGTTGTTAAAAACTTTCACCGTCCACTACCGTAATCGATTGAGTGAGTCATAAACGGAGAGTTGTTAGATGAGGAAGGAGTCCGTGATAGTGAAGGAAGCATGAGTTGTGCTGTTGAAAACGCTGGAGTGAGAACTCCAATTCCAGGAGAAGTTGGCCAAAACTCTGGTAAATCTAGGTTTCCATTTAAGTACAACACCACTTGTTCCATGGACGGTCTTGCATCTGGATCAAGATTTGCACATAGCAAACCAACTTTCAGAACCTTCTCAACTTCCTCTGATGAAAATTCTGTCAACCTTGTATCTATAGCATCAACCAAAGAAAACATTCTCCAACATTCACAAACCCATTTAATCAGAAAAAGTTTTGCAGCCACCAAGCCAGGCTCCACAGGTCTCCTCCCACATGTTACTTCAAGCAAGAAAACACCAAATGCATATACATCAGTTGCAGTGGAATGTCCCATTGTTGAAAGCTCAGGTGCCATGTAACCAACAGTTCCAACTGCAGCTGTTGTGGTTGGATCAGCCCCTCTATCATATAACCTTGACATACCAAAATCTCCCAACCTTCCATTAAACTCCGCATCCAACATAACGTTAGCAGCTTTGATATCTCTGTGGATAACAACTTGGTCAGCTTCTGTGTGTAAGTAACTAAGAGCTGACGCAATGTCTTTGATAATGGCAAGTCTTCTCCACCAGGGGAGAGTCGGTTTATCATGATCAAACAAGTACTGGTCAAGGCTACCATTTGGCATGTACTCAGAGACCAGTAACAACTCATGTTTCCTCCTGCAATACCCAAGAAGTGGAACCAAGCTTCGGTGTTTTGAACTCCTCATGCAAACAATCTCAGCTACAAATTGCTTCATGCCTTCCTCAGCGTCAACTGATACTTTCTTCACAGCCACTTCTCTGCTTCTAGGGAGTGTTCCTTTGTAGACTTCACCAAAACCTCCTTTCCCAATAAACTCAGTTTTACTAAACCCTTTTGTTGCTTTGTATAGAGATTTGTAGGAGAACCTGAGTGGACCATATTCTTTTTCCCATTCCTCTCTTACTTCTGCGTACAAGTCTCTCCTATACATATAAACTTTAACAAAAAGCCCCAAAAATAATAAAGCTATTAAACCAAGTAGAGCATCAAGCAGAGGAGATGAATACTTCTTTTTATTGTAAGGCTTAGGAACTTTGGGAAGTTTTGAGACGTCAATCTTCTGCAGAGACGCCATGCTTTTGCTAAAACTCCACCCAAGTATGTACTGATAACTCATGATTGACCCGGTTGAACCCGAAAACCCGAAAAACATACTTCTACCTTGCACAATCTCTGTAAGATTGATGGATGTTGATGACAGAAGAGGCCGGCTTGGTTTATGGTTTCCAAGAGGAGCCAATGTAACATTGAGTGTAGTTCTTTCATAATCCACCCAAACTTGAATAGGATCTCCACTTTTAAGTTTGATGTCAATCTTCCTACCATCTTTGTCTGAATAATAAGAAGCCTCAGCAGATGCCACATCCTTTGCACTGTTCACATCAATCCCAACTTCATTACCCTCGCTGTCTTCCTCATCTGGAGCTATGTCAAGCTCAACAGCCAACACACGTGGGGAATCAGATTTATTTGCATAGAAAAGACCAAAGAACTGAGTTGGATCATCGCCGATGAAGTCAGTGGATTGAGACACAAAAAACGCAATGCCATGGCCACTGATCTTACCTACAGGGAGCAGTGCACACACGAAATGTGTGGAGAAGGAAACTGGTTCAGATGGTTTGAAGTCAACTGGCTTCTTGAAGAAAGCACGACCTATTTGAGATGTCGTTGCATTTGTCAGCTGCAGGATATGATTCTTTGAGAGGATTCTTGCACTACCGTCAAGGTGAAGACGATGATCTTCTTGGTAGAAGCCGTTGAAGACAAACGTTGTGTCTTTTTGAAATGATGGGCAAACATAATGTATCATCCAGATGATTACCAGAAGCAATACTCGAATCATTGGTAATGAAACAGAGAGAGTTCTGTTTTTTTTTTTTTTTCCTTTCTCTGCTACAAATGCTTTTCCCTTAGTAAAGACTTTCGAACACATGTCGTTGTCAAGACAAGCCTGAATTTGGGTGTGCCTTCAAATGTCAAATCATTAAAAATTTAAAGTTAACTGATAGCACGTCTATACAAGAAAAAAATGATTGGGATCATTAGCCGCGGTTAATGAAAACGTAATAATTGATACATAGGAGGCTCTGGAACGTATTTGTTTCAAAATTATGTTCTTTTAAACTAATTCACTTACTTTTTTTTTCAAAACTTATATGAAAAGAAATAAAACTTAAAAATTAAAATTTTAACTTATAATATTATTTCTGGATTTTGGAATTTACGAATATTTTACTAGGTGAAGATAATTTGATAATAAATTGTTTAATGATTAATCTTTATAGTTATTATTTTAAAACATTATTTTAAAGTGTTTTAGGTTGTGTTATCAAAAAAATAGAAAACATGTCATAAGTCTTACTACGAAAATATAGAATGGTAGTGGATTTATTATCAAATTATATATGCCATATCTTATATATTAAAATAGAAGTCACAACCTTGATTCATGTGTGATTTTTTTAGAAAATGGACTATTCCTTAGAAAGATTATCAAATGTTACAAATCTAATGATAATATCTTTAAGTATCTTTATTTTTCTATTTAAAATAGAAATGAAATAAATCTAACAAAATCTTTTTGATATCTTTTAAATTTTATTTCCTTAAATCATTGAATTTAAATTCTAATTACCATAAAATATCATTACAAATTATTATTTTATTTATAAATGAAGTTTTAAAATTATCTAAAAAAATTTTAGTTATATTTTAATGAGAATTATAATATAAATTAATAGAGTTTCAAAAACACTTATTTACAAAATTTAAATAGATTATGTTAGAAAAAAATAAAATTCAGTTTCAAATATACAAAATAATATATTATATATTTATTAATCTATACTATTAAAACGAAGTCATGAGTTATTTCATGTATAATTATTTTACTTGGGCCATTCTTTAAAAAGTTATCAAATTTTACATAATTTAATTATAATATCACCCTATATCTTTATCTTTTATTTGAAATACAAATATTTTGTTTAAGAAATTAAAATTTATCTAGATAGTACTATATATTCCTAAAAAATAAATNTAATTATTTTACTTGGGCCATTCTTTAAAAAGTTATCAAATTTTACATAATTTAATTATAATATCACCCTATATCTTTATCTTTTATTTGAAATACAAATATTTTGTTTAAGAAATTAAAATTTATCTAGATAGTACTATATATTCCTAAAAAATAAATAAAAAAACTGTATACTGGAGTTTGACCGACACAGATTTTTCATTATGTAAATATAAAACTTTGATAGTATTGTAAAAATTTAAATATATGATTTACATTTAATTATATATATATTATAAGTTTATAATTTTTTTGTTTAATTTTCTTATTCGTCATTATTAATATATAGTAATTTGTTTTAAATATTTTAATTTATATTCTTATGGATTGTTATTACTTATTAATATATTTTGGATTTTGATACATAAATTATAATCTGAAATATTCAAATATATAATCTTTTTAATATAAATTTTTAGTTTCTACAATTTGCATACAATACATTTTAACATTTATTTAGATATACTATAGTTAAATATTTGTTAATGGTAATTTATATTTTCATGTTGTTTTAAAAATGATACTTTGGCATTTATTACTTTAAAATTTTGCAGAATTTTATAAATAAATATATTTTTATTGATATATTTTTTATAAATTATAAATAGATAAAAACCCGCACGGTTGTGTGGGTCAAGATCTAGTCTTTATATATTAAAACAGAAGTCATGACTTAACTTCATGTGTGATTTTTTTTAAAAATGGACTATTACTAGAAAGTTATGTTACATTAACTTTCTAATATTTTTATCATTATTATATCTTATGAAAAATCATATCTATAATAACAAAGATACGCTTAACAATTTGGTTTTGGTAATTAGCTCACACCTTCCAACTTAGTCACGCAAAATATGTCAATAAATATAAGTTTAGGAATCTTCTATTATTTATAAGGAAATATGTCAATAATAGTTAAATGGATCTACAATATATTAACAAAAATCACAGATTCGTAATATGGAATATTTATATACCCTAACAAAATTTACACGTTATATATACTAGATAAATTAAATTCGATGTAAATTTTTAAAATTATATTGTTTAAAAAGGAAATTTTTTAAAAAATTCTTTTTTAACAAAATTCTTTATATTATAAATTTATGAAGCTATAGGTTTAGTTTTTAGCAAAATATTCTTCGAAGTTTATATTATCTTTGCAAATTAAAATATACTAATATTTAATCAAGCTCTATTTATATTACTTTATCTAAAATGAAATACTAATCTAATAAACAATAAAATATAGAAGAAAAAACAAACACATGTTTGAAAAACATGTATAATATAGAAGATTTGAAACAATCTATTTGATTAAAACACATATTATATAATATTATTATGTTTGAAAAAATTTACTATATATATCGTAAATATATGATTACTATAATATATACCAATTTACAAGTGAAAAAAAATGTTTATATAACTAACTATAAACAAAAACAAACACCCGCGCGGTTGCGCGGGTCAAAATCTAGTTTGTATTTATAATTACCAATTCCCGTCCATGTGTCTCCTCTCAGTCAATCAACAAAGAATGGTAGAAAAATCAGGAGATTATGGAAATCAAAGGCCATTCGCTGAAGAAGATGAAACGTAAAACCTTCCTTCCTGCTGCTGACTACTCCGAAACAAACTGAAGAGACAGTGGAGGAAGGAGGAAGGAGGAAGGAGGAAGGAGGAAGGAAGAAGGAAGAAGGAAGAACGAGTCAAGAGAGAAGACGACGAATCGATGATTTGAATTTTTAGAGTGAATACCGGTCCGTATTTTCTCAAACCGGTTTGACCATAAAATTCGGTTTATGCGCACATTAACCGGTTTAGTAAGTCAAAAAGAGAATATGTCGAAAATCAAACGATTCTCTCATATAACTATAAGCAATTGTAAGAGCTTGGTGTTAACTCGCCACTTGCGAGAGTGGGGGACTTTGCAACTTTAATTTGAACCATTAAAATTATTTTTTTTCAAAAAAAAAATTATACACATCATTATATTCTTATATACTATTAGTTAGTAACACTAGTTATCAGTTTTGATGATTTTGAAAATTTTATTAATCTTGCTCTAGGAAGGTTGTTCCTATTTTGCAGTCTCTTGAAAAAAAAATAAAAAAAATTGACGTTTTCATTCCAAACAAAATAAATACGTGCTGTTTTTATCAAAAATATTGTGCTGTTTTAAATCAAATAAAACGGGGAGTAAGACAGTACTTGGGTTCAATGGAAACTCCATTCAAGTAAAAAAATTTCGTGTGTTTCTTTCTTGTGAGATTAAAAACAGTTAAGGCCTTAAGAAAAAATAGTTCACATGTGATTATGTTGTACGTCGGGTGAAGCAGAAGACTAGTTCACATGTGGTATGCCATTATTTTTGTTATGTTATGATCATCATCTCATCTAAATTGGTTCAAAAGCCAATGAAATGTCAAAATCTTAAGTACGATGATCACTACGAGCAGATTGACGACCTTCTCTTGTTGTTGTCTTTATAACTCTGAGCCGTCAATGTCAATATTCCCAACACCAACCTCCATAGCTTCCCTCTCATTTTTATTCTCATCCCTTTCTTTTAGTTTTTGTGGACTCGGTGATGATGCTTTCAGTAATCTAGGGACTAGGGACATGATTCATCCATGGGTGCGTTAAGCACTGAGCAGCTGTAGGTCTCTTCTCAGGCGCAAACTCAAGAATGGGAGTGATGAAGTCTTGCATAGCAACAGCGTCTTCCTCGCTGAATTCATACTTCTCCATTAAAACCTTGCTCAGTGGCCAAAACCGTAACATCCTAATGTGTCTTAGTTCACCCTGTCTGTTGAAGTAATCCCGTGAATACTGTCCTCCTAATGCAATCTGCAATAGAAAAAAAGTTCATCATTAATGCCAAAACTCGAAACGATACTGATTGATAAGAGTTAAACACTGTGTTTACCTTTCGTGGCATCATCCCAAGAAGCTCCATCATCAATGCTAGAGCAAATATCTTTAGAATGACTATCTGAAGCCGAAAGGGCTTCAATAGCTCGGAGAATCATTTCAAGAACGGAGTACCTGTAAATTATACACAAGTGTAACACACTACATGGTAAAACCATAACATCATAACATTTACTAACACCTGTTGACCCTTAAAGCTAGAGTTTCCATTATTCCATACCTTTCTGGAATTCTTTCTTTGACCAACTTGCTCATTTCGAAGGAAAGAAGATTGATCAAGAGACTCGTCAAACCTCGAGTCATTAGTGGAGGGATCAATAGCTTCCCAACCTCTGATTCACCTTCTAAGATACCTAATAATAGCCCTACACTCTATGGAGAAAAAAAATGGAAATCATTTAGGCATAAGATTCTCACTAGTTACAAACACATGTATAATCAGAAGTTACCTTTTCAATAAGATGAGGATTCAAGGTGTTTTCCGCAATCCACAAACCACGGCGAAGTATATCATCAGACTGAAAACACTCGGCCCATAAAGTGCATCCAGCTCCATAGAGACCTGTGGTGAGTATCCTATTGGAACACACATGTCAGTTAGTTTAGACGTGAATCTGCATTTGACAGTCCACAAAATATGATTTATCTTGCCTGCAAAGTTCACATAGGCATTGAGTGTCATCAAGAAACAACTGCCCCACAAGTATATTGACTAGTCCAGATGTAGACTCAATGTGTTTCAGCAGACCTTCATGGCAAGCAAGGTTTCCAATAATCCCGAGACATATTTCCTTTGCAAGTTCAAACGAAAAAGAAATAAAATCATTCAGTGAATAGAATTAAACCAATTAATTATCATAAATGAAAATGAGTATCTTACTCGAATATGGGAAGATGTTGTGACGAGAAGGTTTGCGTGAAGCACTTGTAATATTAGGTTCTGTACCTGCAAAAGCCAAAAAAAGAAAACAGTCACAACTTTCAGTCTCAATTCCAGTGCCTAGGAGTCAAAGACAGATAGTACATTACAAAAAGGGCACTACAAGGAACCAATCTGCTCTCTTTGTCTACAAGGTAAACTAGTGTATTGCTCCCACTAAAAAAGTCTCATCTTAAGACCAGTGCCTAAGGCAAAGTGTAAAAGTATTACCATAAGCTCAGCATGGGTTGTACTGGCAGCAAGGTCCCACAAAACGCAACCATGATCTTCCCATGCCTTGTCCTTCTCCTGTGAAGTGGATTCGTTATGGTTATCATCACCAATGTCCATGCTCTCTACAACACCTTGAACCGCATTGTTGGGATCCATACGAGGATTATGCTTTATCTGAGTTCTTTGACCACTGCCAGAATCTACTGGAAGGAGCTTCCTTATCAGTGAGATTATGAAGGTAGGATCAACTGTAGTGTCAATGTCGAACAACTGCAAAGAAGAAACAAACATTAGAAATAAAGGTCAAAACTTTCAATCCAATCTACTGAAAAGTTTACAAAGAAACTAACTTTTGTAATTAAATCCTTTAAAGTTCTGAGTTTTCTACAATTAAAGCTCAAAGGGACAATCCATGGCGGCAGAGCTTTACCTCATCAGGCGGAGGCGGGGGATGATGCGACGGACAATCCATTTCTGCTTCTTCTTTTCTTTCTTCAGATTGTTTTTCTTCGAGTTTACTTCTTCACCTACAAAAATCCGAATGTAAAGTCAAAAAAAAAAAAGTCAAAAAAAAAAAAATGTCAAATGTCCAAAATCAAACGATTCTCTCATATAACTATAAGCAATTGTGAGAGAGTGGTATTCACTCGCCATTTGTGAGAGTGGGGGTGCTTTCAAACCTTAATTTGGACCATTAAAATTATTTTTTTTCAATAAAAAAATTTATACACATCATTATATTCTCATATACTATTAGTTTGTAACACTAGTTATTAGTTTTGATGATTTTGAAAATTTTAATAATCTTACTCTAGGAAGGTTGTTCCTATTTTGCAATCTCTTGAAATAAAAACAAACATTGACGTTTTCATTTTCAATCTCTCATTAAGCTCTTTGAAGAATGCATATTCAAAATTGTCAAGATAATTCTCAACCTGCACCTAACAAGAAAAAACTTCAAAAATAATTTTTTTTTTTTTTTGTAACACAAAAATAATATTCTTTATTGCATGGGATATGAGTGTGGATGGAGTTTCCCTCACAAGTAAGGTTCTCTCGGTGAGTTCTTGGATCACAAGTAAGGTTATAAAACAATTCATCCCTATTTCAACAAACATTTATATACAAAACAGGACCACAAACTTCTATAAATCAATAAATAATATAATCCATTTCACAATTTCAAAAAGAAATTCCCCAATATATAAGTCACTCTTTCATGGATAAAAACAACACAACACCAACAGTAATAACTCCACACTTACATGGGGTGGACAATCCTTAGTTATGAATAATTTTGTAGAATTAGAGAACATATCTTATTGGAGATATATCTTCTTTCATTTTTAATGTTCAAGTCAAGTTGTATATATGAGAAAGGTTTGCTTATGAGTTATGATATACTTCCTTAAAAGAATTTTTTTTTTGAGACATAATATGCCATATTATATAGCGTATAATAATCACAATCATAATTTTCTATATAGACGTGTTACCCGTGAACTTTTAAGACACACGCCCATACCCATGGCTGAGTATTTTATTTGCTACGAAGTAAGAACCATTGTTGTCTTGACGAGAACAGGTGTTCGAAAGTCTTACTAAGGGAATAGCATGATACCTTAAAGATTCCTAAGCAGTCGTCAATATTTAACGTTGATGTCATCCAGAACAAGAACTCTCTCTGTTTCATTAGAAATGATTCGAGGATTGCTTCTTGGAATCATATGGATGTTAAACTGTGTTTGCCCATCATTTCAACAGGACACGAAGTTTGTCTTCAACGGTTTCCGCCAAGAAGATCATCGTCTTCATCTTGACGGTAGTGCAAGAATCCTTCCAAAGAATCATATCCTGCAGCTGACAAATGCAACGACAACGCAAATAGGTCGTGCTTTCTTCAAGAAGCCAGTTGACTTCAAACCATCTGAACCAGTCTCCTTCTCCACACATTTCGTTTGTGCGTTGCTCCCCGCTGGTAAAATCAGTGGCCATGGCCTTGCGTTTTTTGTGTCTCAATCCACTGACTTCATCGGCGATGATCCAACTCGGTTCTTCGGGATTTTCTATGGAAACGGATCTAATTCTCCACGTGTGTTGGCTGTTGAGCTTGATATAGCTCCAGATGAGGACATTGATGGTAATCATGTTGGGATTGATGTGAACAGCGCAAAGGATGTGGCATCTGCTAAGGCTTCTTATTATTCAGACAAAGAAGGTAGGAAGATAGACATCAAACTATTAAGTGGAGATCCTATTCAGGTTTGGGTGGATTATGAAAGAACCACACTCAATGTTTCATTGGCTCCTCTTGGAAACCACAAACCAAGCCGACCTCTCTTGTCATCAACATCCATCAATCTTACCGAGATTGTGCAAGGTAGAAGAATGTTTGTAGGGTTTTCCGGTTCAACCGGGTCAGTCATGAGCTACCAGTATATACTAGGGTGGAGTTTTAGCAAAAGACTGGCGTCTCTACAGAAGATTGACATCTCAAAACTTCCAAAAGTTCCCAATCCTAGAAATAAAAAACAAGTCTACATCACTGGTGGTAAATGCTCTGCTTGGTTTAATAGCTTTGTTACTTTTGGGGTTTCTTGTTGGAGCTTATATGTATAGGAGAAACTTGTATGCGGAAGTAAGAGAGGAATGGGAAAAGGAATATGGTCCACTCAGGTTCTCTTACAAATCTCTATACAAAGCAACAAAAGGGTTCAGTAAAAGTGGGTTTCTTGGGAAAGGAGGTTTTGGTGAAGTCTACAAAGGAGTATTCCCTCAGAGCAGTGAACTGAGAGAAGTGGCTGTGAAGAAAGTATCACATGATGGTGAGCAAGGCATGAAGCAATTTGTAGCTGAGATCGTTTGCATGAGGAGTTCAAAACACCGAAGTTTGGTTCCACTTCTTGGATATTGCAGAAGGAAACATGAGTTATTACTAGTATCTGAGTACATGCCAAATGGTAGCCTTGACCAGTACTTGTTTTCTCCTCAAGATAGACCAACTCTCCCTTGGTGGAGAAGACTTGCCATTATCAAAGACATCGCATCAGCTCTTAGTTATTTACACACAGAAGCTGACCAAGTTGTTATACACAGAGATATCAAAGCTGCGAACGTTATGTTGGATGCGGAGTTTAATGGAAGGTTGGGAGATTTTGGTATGTCCAGGTTATATGACAGAGGAACTGATCCAACCACAACAGCTGCGGTTGGAACTATTGGTTACATGGCACCAGAGCTTACAACAATGGGACATTCCACTGTAACTGATGTATATGCATTTGGTGTTTTCTTGCTTGAAGTAACTTGTGGGAGGAGACCCGTGGAACCTACCTTGTCGGTGGAAAAACGTTTTCTTACTAAATGGGTTTGTGATTGCTGGAAAAGATCTTCTTTGATTGATGCTATAGATCCAAAGTTGAAAGAATTCTCATTACATGAAGTTGAGAGGGTTCTGAAAGTTGGTTTGCTCTGTACAAACATTGATTCAGATTCAAGACCGTCCATGGAACAAGTGGTGCTATACTTAAACGGAAACCTAACCTTGCCGAAGTTTGGGCCATATTCTTCTGGAATTGGAGTTCTCAATTCAATGGCGTCTACACCTGCACAGCCCATGCTCCCTTCACTATCATTGTCTTTCTCCTCATCTAATAACTCTAGGTTTATGACTCACTCAATCATCTACGGGAGTGGACGATGAAAGTTTCTAACAACTTCCCTCATCATATGATCACACCATGTCCATTCTTGGCCTTCTCCACCAAGCTTGAATGGTCAAACTATATATTTTGTGTAAATTTGAAAATTGTTGTTATGTGGTTTATGATGGATGGATACCAGTTAAAGTATAGTTCACTCATTTCATATAGTGACTTACTAGAGTTGTTGATGAATTTAAGTTTATATGTAATCTAGTAAGTTTATATTGAGTTATCCAAGTATGAGCTAGCTCCAAGTTGAACAAATAGGAGTAAAACTTAATGCACATCTAGTCTAAGACATAACTAGTGTTTTAAATTTTTTGTTTGACCCGTTATTACCGTTTATGGATGCATCAAACGCAGCACTACGTAGTCTGAGATGAAGAAGCTTTACTGTTAATTTATCTTTAATATTATAGCATAAAGTAAGTCCAGTTTGTAAAGGAGAATACTTATGGTGTACTAATATTCCTTTTGGATATAAAACAAACACTACTTTACAGTTGCATCACTAATAAAAACACAAACAATACTTTACACTTTGTTCTTTCAAAACAGATCCAAACTCTTTGATTCATCATCACCAATGACTTGTGGACTGCTTCAGATCCTAGTGATCTCTTGTTTTAATCTGATTTATCTATCAAGTCAACAAGAGGTCAAGTTTGTTTATGACAGTTTTAGCAAGCAAGAGAATCTTTATCTTGATGGATCTGCAACAGTTCTCTCCAATGGATTATTACAGCTTACAAACGCTTCAGACCATCAAATGGCTCATGTTTTCTACAGGAAACCAATCGGTCTCAGCTCCTCTAAGCCACTCTCCTTTTCAACACACTTCATTTGTGCTCTTGTGCCTCAGCCAGGCTTTGAAGGTGGCCATGGCATGGCCTTTGTAGTATCTCCTTCTATGGATTTCTCACACGCAGAGTCAGATAGATACTTGGGGGTTTTCAACGTTTCCAAAAATGTATCTCCTTCTTCTGATGTGCTTGCTGTTGAGCTTGACACTATTTGGAATCCAGATTTTGAAGACATTGATAACAATCATGTGGGGATTGATGTGCATAGTCCTCTCTCTGTAGCAATAGCTTCAGCTTCTTACTATTCAGACATAAAGAGGAAGAATGAAACCATAAACCTCCTGAGTGGAAAACCATTACAGGTGTGGGTGGATTACGAAGACACTATGATTAATGTCTCAATGGCTCCTCTTGAAGTGGAGAAGCCAAGTCAACCTCTTTTGTCACAACTCATCAATCTTACAGAGATTTTTCCTAATAGATCAAGGCTTTTTGTTGGCTTCTCTGCAGCAACAGGGACAGCTACTAGTTATCAATATATTCTTTCATGGAGTTTTTGCACAGAGAGAGTATCTTTACAGAAACTTGACATCTCAAGACTCCCTGAAGTTCCTAAACCAAGAGCTGAACATAAGAATCATTCTCAACTAATCATTGTCCTGCTTGGTTTCCTGGCTACCATGGGCTTGGGTGTTCTCATAGGAGTGTATCTTTTCAGGAAGTGTAAGTATGCAGAAGTAACTGAAGAATGGGAAAAGGAGTTTGGTGCACACAGATTCTCTTATGAGTCCTTATACAAAGCAACAAAAGGGTTCAACAAGGATGAGTTTCTTGGAAAAGGAGGTTTTGGAGAAGTGTACAGAGGAACTCTCCTTCTAAGCAGAGAGATAGCTGTGAAGAGAATGTTCCATAACGATGATCAAGTTGTGAAGCAGTTTGTGTCTGAAGTGGTGAGCATGAGATGTCTGAAACACAGGAATCTTGTTCCACTTCTTGGATACTGCAGGAGAAAGCATGAGCTTCTTTTGGTCTCTGAGTACATGCCTAACGGTAGTCTTGATGAGCATTTGTTTGATGAGACCAAACCAGTCCTCTCTTGGCAGCAGAGACTTGTAATAGTTAAAGGAATAGCTTCTGCTCTCTGTTACCTGCATACAGGTGCTGACCAAGTTGTTCTGCATAGAGATATAAAAGCTTCAAACATTATGTTGGACGCTGATTTCAACGGAAGGCTAGGAGATTTTGGAATGGCTAGGTTTCATCACCATGGAGAGTACGCATGCCCAACAGGAGCCGTTGGAACTATAGGTTACATGGCGCCTGAAATAATTGATATGGTAGCTTCCACTGGAACTGATGTGTATGCCTTTGGTGTTTTCATGCTTGAGGTAACATGTGGGAGGAGACCTGTGGAGCCACAGTTACAATGTGAGAAACGAGTTCTGGTGAAATGGGTTTGTGAGTGCTGGAAAGGGGATTCTCTGCTTGATGCTGTTGACCCTAGATTGGGAGATGAGTTCTTACCAGAGGAAGTGGAGATGGTTATGAAACTTGGTTTGCTTTGTTCAAATATTGTGCCGGAATCAAGGCCTACGATGGAGCAAGTGGTTCTGTACTTGAATAATAGTATACCTTTGCCAGATATCTCACCATATGCTGTGGGGTTTAGCAGTCATTCTTCGGTTCTGATTGATGCAGCCTCTCTTGTAGCTTCAAGGAGCTGGTCAGCTTCCTCGGTCTCTTCTTCCTCGGGACAATAACTCACCTTACAAGGGATTAGCCATGGTGACACAGAATGAAATCTAAGAGGTAAATACCCAATGAAAATCTTAGAACAACATTCTTACTTTGTTCAATCTTATATGGTTTGAGACAAAGAAAATCTAATTAGAGTATATATTGGTTAAAAAATTTGAATGTGAATCTGTGATAACATCATGAGAGGTTATAATACTAGAAATCTAGTTCATTATTAATGAAACTTACAAAGTAGATCTGACAAAACTTACATAGTCTTCAAAAGATAACATAAAAGAAAGAATAAAAAAAAAGACAGAACAAGAACCTAATAGTGACACTTTATCAACACGTTATCCATTTGTGACAAGTTTGGTATTATTGCTTCCTTCAATCTCCAAGTGAGTTGACAATGGACTTCTTGGAATCACAATTTTAATCTCGATCTCACCTGTGTCATCTTTCTTCAGAACTTGGCCAGAAGGAAGAGGAGATGATAAAGAAGAAGATATGGTGACAACATTTGTGAGATGATTCTCGTTGGATGGTTTTGGTGTTCGGACAATCCACATGAGGTTGTAACCTATGGTCTTGTGCAGTAATATGACAGCAGAAGTGACAAGAAGTTGGATCATCCAAGGTAAAGTTATAAGCAATGTTCCGAATATAGAAAAAAACTTGATGTAACCAAAGTTATGTCTTCTAGTGGTTGAGAGAGTGAAGAGAAGGATTCCAACAAGAGTTATCCAGAGAGAATGAGCTAGGATTGATCTGAAAGGGAGGCCTCTGTTGTCCATATCTGCTTGTTTTCTTTAGTCTCATGGAAAAAAAAAAGTTATAAATCTTTTGAATAATGTTTAAGAGGTTGTTAGAGAGATAGCTGCTGCTTAGGTTAGATTTTCTGTCAAAGTCAAATTTATTTTTCGTTATAGGATTAAAATAATTTTTAAAAATCTCGGAAAGGAAAATATTACGGCAAGAAATTTTGCGAAATTCCTAAATAGAAAAATCATGAAGCATATGATTGATTGATATATCTTTGTTGGTGTACAATGACATCACTATATAACACGCATCCCAAGTAAACAGAATAAATTAACGGTCCATTCACAAACCACCACCTGTCCCAATCACGTCTCCCTCTTCAAGTCAACTCACATTGCTCTAACTAAACACTTAAACAGCAGAAGCCTTGTCTGAGAAAAAAAGAAAAGAAAAGAAGTAAGCCATGTCTGCGAAAGCAATCCTCCTATCATCGGTCCTTCTACTGATTCTCATCGTCGCATCTGCATCCGCTGATACTGGATTCGTTGAGTCAAACCCGATCCGTATGGTCTCAGACGGTCTCCGGGAGATAGAAGAATCCGTTGTCCAGATCTTAGGCCAATCTCGTCACGTTCTCTCCTTCGCTCGCTTCACTCACCGGTAAGTCACACCCACTATCAATGTTTCCGTTGACTTTTTTTTGATAAACGAACATTTGTTCGTTTTCTTTTTGTGGGATGAAGGTATAGGAAAAGGTATGAGAACGCAGAGGAGATTAAGCTCAGATTCTCCATCTTCAAGGAGAGTCTTGACTTAATCAGATCCACCAACAAGAAAGGCTTGTCTTACAAACTCGGTCTCAATCGTAAGTCTTGTGGATCCGTCAAACTGTTTAACCGATTTATCTGCGTGACACATGTATATATATACATTGTCGGGGACTAGTTTTTGATTTTAATACGTGGAATTTTTTTAAAGTTTTGATTTTTAGCCTTTGATTTTGATTCACGTGACTCAAAGATAGTTATTGGTCTAAAGTTTGCATAGTTTGTGTATGACAGACTAGTTTTGCAATCAAATTTATTGTACTTGTTCTTTGTGGGGTTTAAGATGCTTCTTTGTCCTATGGCAGACTTTACTAATTGTTTGAGAGAATAGTTTGCTTGCAAAGTTATTGTTCTGCTTCTATAAGAATTAGCTGTCCTGATTTAAGATTATTCTTGTTCTTAGTGTTGAATAGGATCCTTGTTTTGTCCTAATGGCAGATATTACTTATGATTTGGGGGTAAGGATTGACACATTTTGAATCTGAATTTTGCTAACTTTCTGTTGAATCCATACTCCATACAGAGTTTGCTGATTTGACCTGGGAAGAGTTTCAAAGGACCAAGCTTGGTGCTGCACAGAACTGCTCTGCCACTTTAAAAGGTAGCCACAAACTCACCAAAGAAGCTCTTCCCCAAACCGTAAGTCCACTGAACCCATCCAGTTCCTGCTCTTAAGCTTTAAGAAAACGTATTTAGTAGTTGCAGACCCTTTTTAAAAATTTCTCAGTTCTGAAACTTTGTAAACTGCAGAAAGATTGGAGAGAAGATGGTATTGTTAGTCCAGTCAAAGACCAGGGAAAATGTGGATCTTGCTGGACATTCAGGTATAACAAAATGATCAAGATACTAATATTTCCTGGTGGATCTCTCTCTTCATGTAAAATTAAAGGTCAAGATTGTTTGGCTCTGCAGCACCACTGGAGCACTTGAGGCAGCTTATCATCAAGCATTTGGGAAAGGAATATCACTCTCTGAGCAACAGCTTGTGGATTGTGCTGGAGCTTTCAACAACTTTGGCTGCAATGGTGGCCTTCCTTCCCAAGCCTTTGAATACATCAAGTTCAACGGTGGCCTTGACACAGAGGAAGCTTATCCTTACACCGCTAAAAACGGAACCTGCAAATACTCAGCTGCAAACATCGGTGTACAAGTCCTCGATTCGGTCAACATTACTCTTGTAAGCATATATTTTACAGATTCTTGTAAATTCATAGTTTGTAATCTGTAATGAGGACTAAAACAACAACAACAACAGGGTGCTGAAGATGAACTGAAGCATGCGGTTGGATTGGTACGACCAGTAAGCATTGCATTCCAGGTTATCAAATCGTTCCGGCTTTATGAGAGCGGAGTTTACTCTGATAGCAACTGTAAAAATTCACCAACGGTTAGACTTTCTTCTTCAAACTGCTTTAAAAATGCTAAATGAATGTTTAACACTCTGTCAGCTCAATTCGTTTTTGTAATGTGGCCATTAGGATGTGAACCACGCGGTTTTGGCGGTTGGTTATGGAATTGAAAACAGTATTCCATATTGGCTTATAAAGAACTCGTGGGGAGCAGGTTGGGGTGACAAAGGTTACTTCAAGATGGAAATGGGGAAGAACATGTGTGGTAAGTTCATTAAACAATAAATACCATTGTCATATGATGCTCAGAGTCTCAGATGTTCACAGTTAGTCTCTCTCTCTTTATCTTTTGTTGATACGTTCTTGACTCTGCAGGTATTGCGACATGTGCATCGTATCCGGTTGTAGCCTAAAGATGATCAGCGAATGTGGTCGCTCAACGACTAGATTACATTTACGTTTGCATATTTTTATTGGATTACATCACTTGAAAGTTGGGACTTGAGAATGCATAGTGTTTACTATGCTTGTTGTATGTAACCATAAGGTCTGCTCATTTGTACAATATAATGGAACAAACTACAGACAACAAATTAATAATAAATATCCATGTTAAACTTCAGGACATAAACTGATTTAGACTAAGTAGATTTCTTCTTGATCCTACGACAAACTCTGTCAAATATAGCTTACGAAAATGTGTCCTTGTTTAAGATCTACACCCTTTTTAATCCTTACCCCCATTCAAGATCTTGTCCTTGTTTCTCTTTCTTTAGGTTTCTTAGTATCAATATATTAAATACTGAAATCTACTGAGAAAACAAATGCAGTCAACAACTCTTAGTGGCAGCTATGGCTTCCCTCTGCATCTCTGGGATCGCTAAGCAGTTGTCTCTCTCCAAAGAGTAGAATATGTTTCTTATATTTGTTCACGTACATTTGTCGTTGGCGTGGATGTTTTGCTGCCAATTTTGGCCTTGAACAATTAGTTGCTGTCTTGCTGCAGATCAAAGCTTTACTGATTAAATAAATCAAATAGCATTTTGTCTTCTGCTTATCTTTGTAAACTTTGTTGGTTTAGGAAACGATGCAACCAAAACGATATAAACAACGATCATAAGCGATTGGGTAAAAAGCAAATAAAAGTAAGTTCAAGAACCAAAAACACTAAAAAGCATTAGGCAAAATCATCCACAAAATGCATAATTGAAAATTGAAATCATGTCTCAGATATCCTAAAAGGCAGAGAGAAGAACGTCTCAGAAAATATTAAAAAAAAGAACCAAAGTAACAAGTCTCATCATTTGGCACCCTTCTTGACGGCAGCCTTGGTAACCTTGGCACCGGTTGGGTCCTTCTTGTCAACACTCTTGATAACTCCAACAGCAACGGTCTGCCTCATGTCCCTGACAGCGAAACGTCCCAATGGTGGGTACTCTGAGAAAGTCTCGACAACCATGGGCTTGGTCGGGGTCATTTTCACCATACCAGCATCTCCATTCTTCAAAAACTTAGGCTCCTTCTCGATCTCCTTACCAGAACGTCTGTCAATCTTGGTCAGGATCTCAGAGAACTTGACTGCAATGTGGGAGGTGTGGCAATCAAGCACTGGTGCGTAACCGTTACCGATCTGACCAGGGTGGTTCATGATGATGACCTGGGAAGTGAAGTTAGCAGCTCCCTTGGCAGGGTCATCCTTGGAGTTGGATGCAACATACCCACGCTTAAGATCCTTGACGGCAACATTCTTAACATTGAAACCAACGTTGTCACCTGGAAGTGCCTCCACAAGAGACTCGTGGTGCATCTCAACGGACTTGACCTCAGTGGTCAACCCTGATGGAGCGAAGGTGACAACCATACCAGGCTTGAGCATACCAGTCTCAACACGACCCACTGGCACCGTTCCAATACCACCAATCTTGTAGACATCCTGAAGTGGGAGACGGAGGGGCTTGTCTGAGGGCCTCTTTGGCTCGTTGATCTGGTCAAGAGCCTCAAGGAGAGTTGGTCCCTTGTACCAGTCAAGGTTGGTGGACCTCTCAATCATGTTGTCACCCTCGAAACCAGAGATGGGGACGAATGGGATTTTGTCAGGGTTGTACCCAACCTTCTTCAAGTAGGAAGACACCTCCTTGATGATCTCATCGTACCTAGCCTTAGAGTACTTGGGGGTTGTGGCATCCATCTGCAACAAGTAAACAAAAATAATATGTTAGAATCATTTCACAAGTGTACAATGACAATTAATAAACAAACAAGGAAACGCTAGCAAACCTTGTTACAGCAGCAAATCATTTGCTTGACACCAAGGGTGAAAGCAAGGAGAGCATGCTCACGGGTCTGACCATCCTTAGAGATACCAGCCTCAAAACCACCGGTGGTGGAGTCAATGATAAGAACAGCACAATCAGCCTGGGAGGTACCAGTAATCATGTTCTTGATGAAATCACGATGACCAGGAGCATCAATGACAGTGCAGTAGTACTTGGTGGTCTCGAACTTCCAGAGAGCAATGTCAATGGTGATACCACGCTCACGCTCAGCCTTAAGTTTGTCCAACACCCACGCGTACTTGAAAGACCTCTTGTTCATCTCAGCAGCCTCCTTCTCGAACCTCTCAATGACACGCTTGTCAATACCACCAAGCTTGTAGATCAAGTGACCAGTGGTTGTTGATTTGCCAGAGTCGACATGGCCAATGACCACAATGTTAATGTGAAACTTCTCTTTACCCATAGCTGCAAATCAATAACAAAAAAAAAAATCAAATCATTAGTATCAAAACAGATAACAAACATATCCAACAGCATAATCAAATAAAGCAACAGATCTAACATCATCAACGCTTAGATACTAAAACTCATAGACGAAACGAGCATGAGAGTTATAGATCGCGACGATTCTAAGCCATAACAACAAGCGAGACTACTCTCATAACAGACTTTCGAAATCAAGATGGAAAAAAAAGTAAACGCTAACAGTAAACAAGACGATTCTCTACAAGATTTCACCAGAATCACGCTAAGCTAATAGATCGAAGAACAATCGGATCTTAAACTCATGAATCGAATCGGTATAACAGGACAGAGTAAGCGATAATCACAGTCAAAATCGAGCTCCCGAAATGCAATCTAAACAAGAGAGATATAAACAATACTGCATTCGAGAATCACCGGTAGATGATGAATGATAAATCTAAAGAGAGAGAGAGCTTTGCTCACCTGCAAGTAAGAATCTGAGAGGAGTCTTGCGGCTACGAAACGGAGAGAGATAACAAAAGGAGAGTGAACCCTATGAGCGAAACAGAGTATATATAGCTACGAGCCCTTTAGGGCTTTCGCATATTCGCTAGGGTTCTAGTTTTACTAATTTGCCCTTACGCATTTTGGCCTCTTTATAATTCTAGTTGTTAATTTAGCATTTATCAAATTGTTGTTCTGCCTTAATGCCTGCAACTTTTAACAAACTGAGCATGAGTTTTATTCAACAAATTGATTCCTCAATTTAATAACAACAGTTAACTTTTCATAACGAATTTAATTAGGACATGTTACAAACTATAAATTAACATGATTAAAATAAAAGAATTGAATAAAGTATTTGTTAATTGATTGGCTACTATGGAATGTTTGATTACTTTAGAAAGTGGCAACAATGGTACATACGAGTTGTGTGTACAACATAAAAAAAAAATCAATCTTGGTAAGCAGAACCAATCCTAATCGAATCACGGTTTAACTGCTTAACCACTAAACAATCACATGTTAGCATTTGATGAAACCCATTTAGCTTGCTAAAGGACGAGGCTCTCTTGGTGGTGAGCTCGGAGATGGAGACTGGAGACTTGGGTTTCCAGGGCAAGACTTAGCAAATTGGCAATACCGACATTTCCAACGTTCTTCTTCAGGAGTGTACTCAGCTTCTCTTTCACTTCTCCAAAACTCTATGACTTCTTTGTATTTGCTCATTACCCACTCAGGATCATGAGGGAATCTAATCTCAGCTATGATGGATCGGTCTTGCTGAAACTCATACCTGAGCCAAAGTTTCCCCTATTAGCTAGAGTGTTTGCTACAATCAGCTTATAGCATATTGTATCAATGTTCTTCTTCTTACCGTAGTAGTAATTGATCATTCGCCACAGGAAGCATCTTAAAAGTGGTTTCATAGTACCTAACTATCTCTTCAAGAGTCTGCATTGAGTAAAAAACTTACAATAATATCAACAAACACATTTTCAAGTGAAATTTATTTTTATACGATCACAAATGAAGACTATTCAGATATACCTGTGCTGGGATTCCTGCATCAGCAATGTTATCTCTGACATCTTTGGACAAGACTTCGTGGCGGTTTAAAGCAAAGTAGTTGAAAAAACGTGTGGCCGGGAACTCTTCTTTGACAACAGTGTCCCATAGAAGCTTGTAAAGCATTACCTGTAGCCTGTTAAATTTATGAACGGTTTTAACATTGGAGCTCCTGCTGAAGAGCATGTTATTAACATACCAAGTTCTTACCTTCCGTTCCTTCTTTGTGGCTCAGCTGGGAGTGTGTCACGGACTCGAGTCTTGGTATCTGACAATAACGGTCCAGTATCAGAAGAGTCTCCTGCAGATGCCTTACTAACCTCATCAATAACTCCCACAATCCACTGGCCTCCAACAAATCCTACACTGATGATTTAGATAATGAACAAATCACTTGTCATGATACATAGTAATACAAAATGGCTTACACAGGAAAGTGACTATAAAACAATCAAGAGACTGAAACTAATGCGCACAAACTAAATTACGTAAAAGTTGGAGCAGAAGAAATGGGAGGCCCAACTCCATTTTCCAGGGAAGGCAAACACTAACACTCACTGTTCTACAAAATCGGTCTAGCACCACCTAGGCGTCCGGGTCCGTCTAACGCTTAAAAAGATTGGTCTACGCTTAACTGATTTTTTGAACATTGCTAACGATACATTAACCAACTAACAAAAGGGTGGATCCTAGTTTACAGTAGTAGAGGTTTGAACTCACTCACAGTAGCAATTCACGAGTTCGTCCTTCAAACAAGAACTGATTAACGCCTGCGATAGAACTCAGCAACTTCAATGCCCACTTATCTTCATTAGATTCAACTTTTACTCGAACCCTTTTAACTACCTATCCATCCATTATCACCAGAAAAACAATGAGACACCATGAAACCAACTTAGAGATTTATCAATACACATAATCATATAAAAGAACCTCTTCTTCAAGCTCCAAGTGACGAGCCTGACCAAGTTTCATAGCTTTACTAACTTTTCTCCTCCCAAGACACAAAACATTCTCCATTTGCTTCTCACACCATTCCTATCAACAACAACAAAATTAACAAAAATCACTTATTTGAATCACAAAAATTGAAAGAGATTCAAATCAGTACAGTGGCGGTGAGATCAGTGACACCCAAAGCTTGATTCTTTCGAAACCGACGGAGAAAAGAGTCTTCAATATCCAAGGAAGAGGAGGAGGAGCAAGCAGAGAGTTTCCTTTTGGATAGCATCGTTATTGAAGCCTTGGAGACTCCACGTGACGGAGAAGCGGCGGCCGAGCGGATCGCGGAAGGGAGGAAGGAGCGCGTGGCGGCAAGCGCGGCGTCGAGGATGGCCATTTCTTCTTCGCTGATGATCTCGATTGGGATCTCGGGGACATGGTGAGATCTTGTTGAGGTTGAAATAGCGGATTGATCGTGGGTAGAGGATGTGGTGGTGGGCGAGTCGGAGGTTGACTCGGAGTGTGACTCGGCCATGAGGAAGGAACGTGTGGTGTTTTGTTTGTCCTTTCGTGTCCGTGTGAAAAAAATTATATACTTTTAACCGTTGGGACTTGGTCAAGTGAACCAAATAAAATTCAAAATCAAAAAGTAAACAAAATTCAAATAATTGATAATTTGAATTTTGTATTTTATAATAAAAAAAATTGTTCATAAATATTCAATATATTTTGCATTTTATAAATTAAAACACACTTCAAATCTGTTAGTAACTTTTTCTCTGGTTTTCTTCTTCTTCGCAAATCTTCAATTATATAATAAATTCAAATCTTTGTTTTTTTTTCTAAGTCTGAAAGACAGTTAAAACATATAACTTGTCACTACATTGTCACATTGGTTTGGGCATGTAATGATAATCAGTTCCAAGATAAGTTATTGCTCTTGGCTCAAAGATTTTTTTGGGTCTTTGTGAAGTTTTTCTGGCTCTCAAAGATGAGCACATCATCAGCCTGAAAATTCACAAGAAATGAGCTGTATTGAAAAAATTACACTAGCTTAGTTTGATTCTTACCCACAAGAGAAAATGTATTTCTTTCGATTTTTGTTTTGTTTTGCTTGTCTTTAACAAGGTGCCTAGTAGAAAGTTGTCAAATCTATGAAAACTATCAACATCATGAACTCAAAGATCTCCATGTTAATTAGTTTCCATTAGAAGCACAAAAGATCAACTCAATGAGATCATCTCTCAAGACTCAAGAATCTAACTAGCTAATGTATTCTTTTTTTTTTGTTTTACCATCATTTTTAAGTATTGAACCTCTTCATACAATATATCATTGGAAAGACTAAACAAGATATGATAAAAAATGTTTTCGAAAATACCCAAGTCCAAAACCTATGCTAAGCTGCCATCGGGGCCTGGAAAGTCATCTCTTCTCTTGGACTATTTAAGGCATCTCCAACTATGACACCAAATTTAATGTTGAAATTACATTAAATTTATGTTTTGATATAAAATATTTTTGGTCATCTCCAACCATGACACCAAACATTACACCAAATGTAATATTATATATTATTTAAAACTTTTAGTTTTAATAATTTTTTATATAGTTTTACTATTTGTAATTGATAATAATGGTTTTATCACACTTAGATATTATAATTATTAAATATTTGTAATTTTATGTTAGTAAAATTTATACATTTTTTGGTTCAACAATATTATATTTTGTATTTATATTCTATATAATAGTATAATATATTAAAGTTTACAAACTATTAATTATAAAAAGCACATATAACAAAATAATATAATTATTTTAATATTTTTTTATTAGATAGTAATACAAGTTTAACTATATTATAAAATAAAAAAAGCTAAAAAGATTATTTTAATGTTTGGTAAATTTAATAGTATTACGTAAAATTTAATTATTTGTTATTAAATCTAACTTAGTAATACTCTAATATTATGAGTGGTTTGTTACATAGTAAACTTAAATAGAGATTATAACTGATATTTTAAAATAAAAATATTTTACAATATAAAATAAAATATAAAATTTTTTTGATATATTTTTAAAACATATATATAATAAAATGAGAATATCCAATTATCGATTTAAACAAAATATTGTTAACTATGTAAAAATAATTAAAAATATAAATACCGGAGTATATTTATATATAGTTACAAATTTGAACTAATTAAAAATACTAATTGAATTATATTATTAAATGAAAAATAATAAAAAAAAATATATATATATATATATATTAAATATTTGGTGTGATAAATAGTGTTACACAAAATTTGGTGTAATACTATTCACTCTACACCAAATTTGGTGGAATTATGTAATTTTTGATGTTCTATTCGAAATGAAATTATACCAAATTTGATGTTTTGGCGTACCATTGGAATTGGCCTTAAGCCTTCATAATACAAAAACTAATATATATTTTTTTTTTCAAATACAAAAACATATATAATGCTTGGATTTCAGTCACATGATCGCTGTGGGACTTTATTTCTTTCTCATTCAGTTAATAATGATCCATTTCTATTCACAGATTTCTCTATTACTTTTAGCGTCCATAGGTTTAATTAATTGATCCAATAGTTCTAACATATGTTTTGTGGTTAAATCTGATTCAATTAGGATTGGTTATGCATACCAAGATTGATTTAATTATGTTACACACTATGTACCATTGTCAGAGCCAGGTGACCTGTAGGCCAAATCAATGGAATCCATACTGAGGATGGTTTTTTTATTAAGATATTTCAGTCACTCACTGTCAAAACCTGCTCTAGTCTAGTGGTATAAGATAAAATTTAGTCCTAATTTAAGTATTCTGATATCGATACATCTTTTTGTTTCTAGTCCTCTAAAATCTAGAATTGGTTCTGACCACTGTTGCTGGTTTGTAAAGTAACCCATATTTCACATACCTAATTAATGTGGACATTAATTAAAAAATGTGTAATGAGGTTAGTCAATTGTTTATTTAAATCTTGACTGTTGAATTCATGTCCGAGATAAATGTTCGTTATAAAAGTTAACTGTTCATGTTTAGTTGAATAACTTATGCTTAGTGTGTTAAAAGTTGCAGGCATAATCGCCTACCTATTAGATAAAGATTTGATTAAGTAAAGACCAATTCGTTTAGTGTAGATTAGAATTTAACAACATAGAGAACTTTTTTTTTTTATAAAACCATAACGAGTAAGGGCAAATTGGTAAAACCTGGAGGAAATTGCAAAAGCCCTAAAGCTCGTAGCTATAAATACTCTGTTTTGTTCATTAGGTTCACTCTCCTTTAGTTCTCTCGCTTTGATTCGTAGCCGCAAGACTCCTCTCAGATTCTAACTTGCAGGTGAGAAAACCTCTCTCTCTATCTCTTTAGGTTTATCATTAACAATCTGCTTACGATTCTTAATGCGCTCTCTTGTTTAGATTTCATTTCGTAAGCTCGATTTTGACTGTGATTTTCGCTTACTCTGTCCTGTTATACCGATTCGATTCATGTGTTTAAGATCTGATTGTTCATCGATCTATTAGCTTAGCTTAATTCTGGTGAAATCATGTAGAGAATCGTCGTGTTTACTGATAGCGTTTACTTTTTTTTTTAAACTTAATTTTCGGAAATCTGATATGAGAATAATCTTTGCTTGTTGTTATGACTTGGAATCTCTTGATTTACAGATCTCATGCTCGTTTCGTCTATGGATTTTGCTATGCAAGCGTTGATGATTTTAGATCTGTTGCTTTATTTGATTATGCTGTTGAATATGTTTATTTGTTTTGATTCAAATGATTTAATATCTTATGGTATTGAATTTGCAGCTATGGGTAAAGAGAAGTTTCACATCAACATTGTGGTCATTGGCCATGTCGACTCTGGCAAATCAACCACCACTGGTCACTTGATCTACAAGCTTGGTGGTATTGACAAGCGTGTCATCGAGAGGTTCGAGAAGGAGGCTGCTGAGATGAACAAGAGGTCTTTCAAGTACGCATGGGTGTTGGACAAACTTAAGGCTGAGCGTGAGCGTGGTATCACCATTGACATTGCTCTCTGGAAGTTCGAGACCACCAAGTACTACTGCACTGTCATTGATGCCCCTGGACATCGTGATTTCATCAAGAACATGATTACTGGTACCTCCCAGGCTGATTGTGCTGTTCTTATCATTGACTCCACCACTGGTGGTTTTGAGGCTGGTATCTCTAAGGATGGTCAGACCCGTGAGCATGCTCTCCTTGCTTTCACCCTTGGTGTCAAGCAAATGATTTGCTGCTGTAACAAGGTTAGCTAACGTTTCCTTGTTTGTTAATTATCTGTCTTTGCACACTTGTGATGTGATTCTAACATGTTATATTTGTATACTTGTTCCAGATGGATGCCACTACCCCTAAGTACTCCAAGGCTAGGTACGATGAGATCATCAAGGAGGTGTCTTCCTACTTGAAGAAGGTTGGGTACAACCCTGACAAAATCCCATTCGTCCCCATCTCTGGTTTCGAGGGTGACAACATGATTGAGAGGTCCACCAACCTTGACTGGTACAAGGGACCAACTCTCCTTGAGGCTCTTGACCAGATCAACGAGCCCAAGAGGCCCTCAGACAAGCCCCTCCGTCTCCCACTTCAGGATGTCTACAAGATTGGTGGTATTGGAACGGTGCCAGTGGGTCGTGTTGAGACTGGTATGCTCAAGCCTGGTATGGTTGTGACATTCGCTCCTTCAGGTTTGACCACTGAGGTCAAGTCCGTTGAGATGCACCACGAGTCTCTTGTTGAAGCACTTCCAGGTGACAACGTTGGATTCAACGTCAAGAATGTTGCCGTCAAGGATCTTAAGCGTGGGTATGTTGCATCCAACTCCAAGGATGATCCTGCCAAGGGAGCTGCTAACTTCACTTCCCAGGTCATCATCATGAACCACCCTGGTCAGATCGGTAACGGTTACGCACCAGTGCTTGATTGCCACACCTCCCACATTGCAGTCAAGTTCTCTGAGATCCTCACCAAGATTGACAGACGTTCTGGTAAGGAGATCGAGAAGGAGCCTAAGTTTTTGAAGAATGGAGATGCTGGTATGGTGAAGATGACTCCGACCAAGCCCATGGTTGTCGAGACTTTCTCAGAGTACCCACCATTGGGACGTTTCGCTGTCAGGGACATGAGGCAGACCGTTGCTGTTGGAGTTATCAAGAGTGTTGACAAGAAGGACCCAACCGGTGCCAAGGTTACCAAGGCTGCTGTCAAGAAGGGTGCCAAATGATGAGACTTCTCTCTTTGGTTTTCTTTGCGTAAAAAAAACTTTGGCGTTTGAGCCTCTCTTTTTTCTGTGACTCTCATATCTATCTTTTTGGATTCCTGTGACTTAAGGTTTCAGTTATGGTGTTTCTGGATAATTTTGCCTAATGCTTTTTTAGTTTTCTTGAATGTTTTAAAGTTGCTTATCTTGTCTTAGAGTTTAAACCCAAACTCTTGAAGATCTTGCGGGAAGTTATTGAATCATTACTCAAGAATTTCATTGTTAAGGCTTATTGTTGCTTAGTTAATGTTTAAGCACTCGTCTAATTTATGATTTCTGCTTAAATCGTCTCGGTGGCCATTAAATCCAACAAATTACGAATCTTAGAAAGCAAACGACAAGCAAGCTTTAATAAGATAAGCATATGGAGCCTTTATCCAACAAAGAAATGTATGAACTAAAAACCAAAACACTAGGATAAGGCCAAAAGAGGCAGTAAAACATCCACGCCAACGACAAATTAAACGTGTAAAGAAACCACTGTGGAAAACAGTAGGAATATTTTTTGTAGCTTTTTTTTTTCATGCTTAAGATTCTTGATCTGCAGTTTTACAAGACATAACTTGGTGAGATTTAACACTAAGCAGCTTTAGCTGTGTGAGAAGAAAAGCTCCATGACTCGAGATCTTGTAATAAAGCAACTAGATCTCTAACATCCTCACTCTCTTGAAGCCATAATAGCTCATCGAATCTCTCCACCATGGACTCATCTGATCTCCTTCTCTTCTTCATCACCTTCCTTCTCTTGTCATGATCTGCCATTCTTCAACACAAAGGGAGAGAGAGAGAGATACAAGTCAAATAAACAGGAGATTTCAAGAGAGATATAGAAGAAAGGAATTCTACTCTTTGGAGCGAGGCAGCTGCTTAGCGATCCCAGAGATGCAGAGAGGGAAACCATAGTTGCCACTAAGAGTTGTTGTCAGCATTTCTTCTCACTGTAGATTCAGGAACTGGGATCTTGATTTTTTTTAAGACACCTAAAGAAAGAGAAACAGACAAGATCTTGAATTGAGTAAAAAATTAAGGAGGGTGTAGTTTATATACTAGTACTGTGTAGTTAATACAAACTTTACTATTGCAAGCCACGAGATGAAATGCTTTTTGTCTTGTTTATGTGGTCTCTTCCTGTGACTGAATCGAAAAGATTCATCTTTATACTAGCGGTGAAAGTAAAAAAAAGTAATATATATATATTGGTTTTTACATAAGCTCAGACTCTTCAAAACTGTAATGTTAGTTTTGACATCATCATTGTCACCATTTATTACACAGAAAGACATACCAAGCAGGCTACCAGACGAGCATTTAATAAAAAGGATGATTGGACCCTATCTGGCAATGTTTTGCAAAAGAAAATCATATACCAAAACAACTACTCCTTGATCAAATGTTATCATTAGATTGCAAGTAAGAGAACCTATATAAGGGAGGTCTTACAATATGTGTTTTGGATAAGATTATGTGTATAACTAGAATGTAAATATCTTAATTGGTATATATGGATGAGTTTCACAACAATACACTATATAGCACTATGTACATTCTTTACCGGATAGCCAATAAGATCTATCAAAACAAAACAACAATAAACTACCTAAACTTTTGCTAGGAAGTGACCAACCAAGAGCTATGAATAGTACAGATAGTACCATCAATATACAAGGACTATTTAAGTGAGATGCTAGAGCATCAATAGCTTATATATCTCTCATCTGAATCCCTCACTTATATAATATATTAATATAATATACTTTTACAATTAACATTTAAATATAAAAAGTCCAAATCTATTATAAATTGACATATGTTATTGTTATGTTAGTCTCTCTAGTTGTCAGATGAGTCTCTTTATAAACATTCGTACGTTTCTCCTTTTATCTCATTTTCCTTCTCTCATACAATTAGCTTTAAATTCATTATTTCTAAGAGGAGAAACCATCAAGGTATTTGCCACTATTTTTTTTTTTATCAACAGGTATTTGCCACTAATGATGCTCTTAATAGCTCTACTTGCGCTAGGAAGTAAATCCAGAAACTATCATAGTACATATAATATCGACAATATACAATGACTACTTATTAAGTTGATAACTCTACTTGTACTAGAAACTATTCATAGTAAACACTGTACCAACAATATACAATGACTCCTTAAAAGATACATTAATACATTTTGTGTATGGGACCTCTGTTGTCGCGTCTTCCCTCCATATGCATGAAACGTAACAAAATCTTGGCCACTGTCAATTAACTTTTGTACATATGTTACAAGTAAGAACAAATGCAAATTCAAGTGCTCAGATTAACTGAAAGAAACTTACATACAACGGCGAAAATACAAATTAACAAAATCAGTGTAAGACCTAAGACAATGCCAGATCATTGGAGATGACGTGAACAGAGAACCTCCTTTGAGATAATAGTTCATTTAACAGACACATAGAGAGCGGCAAACCAAGTGATGGTACTAATAAATCTAGTCCATTCTTGTTAGACCCTTATGGTAAGAGCAACCACAATGCATGAGTTTTCAAAATGCTCTTTGCTCCAAAATGCTTAGGTCTTTGTGAAGTTTTCTTGTCTATGAGCTCTCAAAGATGAGCACATCCCCATCCTGAAAATTACAAGAAATGAATGGAAAATGTGTTTTCTCTCGGTTGTGTTACGTAACTTACGTTTGTCTTTGATAAGGGACCTATTAAAAGGTTGACAGATCTATGAAAACAAACTATCATCTCCATGAACTAAAAAAATCTCAATGTTAATTAGGTCCCATTAGGAGCAAAACTTAATGAAACCATCTCCTAAGACTCAAGAATCTAAAGTTAAGACCGTAATACATCCTTTTTCCTTCCACGATTGACGTACCTTCTTGCGTCACGTTGGAAAAAAGAGTGAAGGAAAATAAGAGATAAAGATAAATTAAACAATTTGCTTGACCCATAATTGTAATACGATCGGAATTTTTTTGTTTGTTTGTTTGTTTGTTTGTAGTCTACATGTCTTTTGAAGAAACGAATTTCATGTCTTTTGTTATCTGACATCTATATATATATTTCATAAATTTCGTCCAACAAATGATAGTTATTACCATTAATCTAAGCTGAACACAAGTAATCTTACACATGGCATTAGAAATATACGTAGACGTGAAACAAATATTTTCTCTAAATCAAAGCTGAACCTAATGATTTGATCAACTCATACATATTTAATTTTAAATGTTTTAGCGAGTATCCTAAATTGTAAAAATCTAGATACGTTGTCAAATTTTTTTTGGTCTAGATACAAATAACGATTGAATCGAATAAACCACAAATAGATATGCTCTTATATAATACCTTTTCTAGGGGGTGGGGGGATTCAATTATATTACCTGCCAAATAAGACCAATTCTTCCACTAAAAATACCAACATGATGCACCACCATAAGCTTAAAAGAATGCATGCACATCCAAATCGGTTTGGAAAAATTATAAACCGGACCGGTTGATTAACAGAAGACCAACGAAACGACAAGTAATTCTAAAAATAGTAGTGGGTGAGAGGAATAAAGAAAAAAGAGAAACGCAGAAAGTCAAATAAAACACGTCAAGTTTTGGAATTTTTTTTGGTGGACTGAACCGTACACGTGAGCGCACAGAAACTAAACCCGGACGTGTTGCTCGTCACTAAACCGGATTGGATAATCGACGACTGGTCCGGCTTACCCTTTGTTTTTGTTTCTCCGGATCGATTATTTTTTTCCCAGTCTGGTTGGTGGCTTCCTCTCTTTTTTCATTTTTTTTGTGTCCTGAGAAAAAAAAAATTCTTATCGAGAGCTGTGTAAACCCTAATCTCTAATCAGCTTATCTCCGATCCATTGGTTTGTGTTTCTGTTTTTTTTTTCTTCTAATTTTGTGTAATTTTGATTCCTCTCCTTGGGAAAGTTTGATTAATTTATGTTATGTTTTGTTACTTAGATCGGTTCCTGTATGGAGACAGTGTCTGTGTGTTTTAATTTGAAAGCTTTGGTACTAAATTGCGTGCTTTGAAACTCTGGTTTTGTGTGGTTTGGATTCAAGACATGGATTTGGAAGCTCGTTGTAAGGTACTTATTTTGTCTGAAAGGTCTCTGCTTTTTTTTTTGATGGGTTTTGCTTTATTTCTATTTGTTAGAACATATGTTTCAAAAAGCCTGTTTTTTTTCAATACCTTTGGTTATGGATATGAGTTTGGCTCAAAGTTTAAGTTTTTTTTGTTTGTTTGTTGTTGTTTGTTGCAGGATAAGCTTTTACATTTTAGGATTAAAGAGCTCAAGGATGTGCTTACTCAACTCGGACTTTCGAAACAGGGAAAGAAGCAGGTTCAATTCATCTTTCTCTAGGCGGTAATTTGTAGAGTACTAGCGACTATTCGGGGGTGTAGGCGTTAACAAATTATTGATTTTTTAGAACCATGGTTAGAGGTATGGTGTTGTACTTGTTTTAAATCATACTTGCAATCTAAGTCATACCTCACAAAGAGTGTGTGATCTGTTTGTGTTGGGTAGATATAAAGTATTATGTGGGAATGTACTGTTTAGATATATCAGATAAGCTTCATGGTTATATGTATATGTGTGTTTTTAACTCTCTTTTTTTCTGAAATTACAGGAACTTGTTGAGCGGATCTTGACCGTTCTTGCTGATGGACAAGGTTAGTTTGAAGCCTTTCTCTTTTGTTTATATTACGTTATTGTCATCTTTTTTTATAAACTAACGTCTTCGTTTCTTACTGACAGCTGCAAGGTTGTGGTCTAAAAGGAATACAGTGGCGAAGGAAGAAATTGCAAAACTTGTGGATGATGCTTATAGGTGTGGAATCATTTCTTACGGAAATGCAATACTTTTTTGGGAGATTCTTTGTTTAACGAAGTGTTTGTTTTGTGTGTGTGTTCCATAGGAAAATCAAAGTATCTGGGGCAAGTGATTTGGCATCAAAAGGACAAGTAAGTTCAGATACTAGTAATCTGAAAGTCAAGGGGGAGCCTGAAGCTTCTTTTCGACCAGAAATGAAAGTTCGATGTGTTTGTGGAAGTTCACTTGAGACAGACTCAATGATTCAGGTATGAACATGATGTAATTTCGTGGTGTATTATCGCTAATGACCTGATGTGTTTGTTTTTGATTCCGTTATGCTTTCTGTTTGTAATTACTTTTTTTTTTCGATTTCAGTGTGATGATCCAAGATGCCATGTTTGGGAGCACGTTGGCTGTGTTATTCTCCCGGAAAAGCCTATGGATGGAAATCCACCACTTCCTGAATCATTTTATTGTGAAGTCTGCCGACTCACTCGAGCTGACCCGTAAGATTTTCTACGATTTTAATTTTCCTGTCTGTTGTCTGTGTTTGAGTTGAGTTGTGGTTAATTGTCTACTTGAAAAGAAGACATATAATCCTTTTGATATGCTTTATATTGTAGTTTCCGTATCTCCATGCATTTGTAGTTGTTCTGCTTCTAGTTCTGTTTTCACAGTAGTTAGAATGCTGTTGTGAAATATCACTGTTATCTTTACAGTAAGCAGTTTTTTTTTATCAATTAGTATTGCGATTCACGGCGTGGTTATCCTTGTGCAGATTTTGGGTTACAGTAGCACATCCACTTTATCCAGTGAGGTTGACTGCAACGGCCATCCCAACCGATGGGTGAGAACTTCATATTTTTCCTTGTCTCTGTCGTTATTGAACTTGTATACTTCTATTCCCATCTTTGTAAGTTAAAGTTGTTTTACATGTTTACTTTACAAAGCTGAAGTAGTCAAATGGGGTATCCTAGATGATACATCACCATCTGTTTCATCCTGCATTAAACAGTATCTAGTGAACAAGAATCATAATTGTTTCGTAGCTAGATGTACCCTACTTTAAAAATAATGTTACTAGCTATTATTAATTCTAATACTCCGATCAAAATCTCTCCAGTACAAGCACAATGCAGACTGTTGAGAGAACATTTCAAATCACAAGAGCAGACAAGGACTTATTGGCCAAACAAGAGTACGATGTTCAGGTTGGGTTTTGCAAAGTACTTAACTATGTAACACTGCACCTATTTCTGCGTTTCTAATGGGAATTTACTTTTCTGTTTTGTTTAGGCTTGGTGTATGCTTTTGAATGACAAAGTTCTCTTCAGGATGCAGTGGCCTCAGCATGCTGATCTGCAGATCAATGGTATGATAGAGACATCCTCAATAAGACGGCTTTTATGTTTTCTGATATGCGATTCATGACATACCCTTTTGTTTCATAGGTATGCCTGTACGCGCAATTTACCGACCTGGATCACAGCTTTTGGGAGCCAACGGCCGCGACGATGGACCTATTGTGTGTTTTCACATCCCTTTTCAACCTTAACACTTTTTGACTCTAATATAGTAGTTGATCTATACATTGAAAGTTTTGGAATCAGTGATATAATTTTGTTACCATCTCATTCTACTATTTTGGCAGATCACACCTTTTGTTAGGGATGGAATTAACAGAATATCCTTGAGTGGAGGTGACAGTCGGAGTTTTTGTTTCGGAGTTAGACTTGTGAAGCGCAGGACTCTACAACAGGTACTGTATCACTGTCTTGCCGCAACATTTTGTTTCCTTTTTTTCACTATATCTCAGTTATGGTTATCTTAAGTTACCTCAATATTTACTCGTTTTTCCCCATCTAGGTTCTAAATTTGATTCCAGAAGAGACGAAAGGGGAGACGTTTGAAGATGCGCTTGCACGTGTCCGACGATGCATTGGAGGTGGAGGTGGAGATGATAATGCCGACAGTGATAGTGACATCGAAGTTGTTGCTGATTTCTTCGGTGTCAATCTCCGCTGTCCTGTAAGTTACTTATTAGCTTATGATGCTGTGTGCATTACCTTGCAGACTGAAATTTTTAACTGTCTTTTCTACTTGTGTCGTTAGATGAGCGGTTCTAGGATAAAAGTTGCGGGGAGATTTTTACCCTGTGTGCACATGGGCGGTTTTGACCTCGAGGTGTTTGTGGAGTTGAATCAACGCTCTAGAAAGGCAAGTATCCTATCCTTGTCAAAACATTAGGGTTATACCTCTTCTTTTCTGACTTTCTTTTGTTATGTGGCTTGGTTACATGCAGTGGCAATGCCCCATTTGCCTGAAGAACTACTCGGTGGAGCATGTAATCGTGGATCCTTATTTTAACCGAATCACATCAAAGGTGGGGATACTATAATTCTTTGAATCTTTGTATCTACGTTATTTATTGAATTGCTTTCTTCCTGAACCACAGATGAAGCATTGTGATGAAGAGGTGACTGAAATTGAAGTGAAACCTGACGGCTCTTGGCGTGTTAAATCCAAAAAGGAGAGTGAGCGTAGGGAACTGGGGGAACTCACACAGTGGCACGCACCTGACGGTAGTCTTTACCCCTCTGGTGATGAGACTAAACGGAAGATGGAAATGATGATCCCGGTTAAACAAGAAGGTTTCTCAGATGGCGGCGGCCCAATCCCTCTGAAACTTGGCATAAGGAAGAATCGTAATGGCGTCTGGGAAGTTAGCAAGCCTAATAATACAAATGGAATGTCTTCCAGTAATAGGCAAGAGAAGAACGTCATTCCAATGAGTAGTAGTGCTACTGGAAGTGGTAGGGATGGTGATGACACAAGCGTCAACCAGGGTGCTGCTATTGGAACCTTTGACTTTGGAACCAACGGCATTGAACTTGATTCAGTTTATAACCAAGCTGGAGAGGATAGAAACAATGAAGTTATTGTTCTGAGTGATTCTGATGAAGATGATGATATAGTAATCACCCCTGGACCTGCATACAGTGACTCTCGAACCAACGGTGGAGTAAATTTTCCATTGAACTCTTATAACGAAGACCCACACAACATAGCTGGGGGAGGAAGCTCACGGTTAGGTCTTTTCAATGATGATGATGAATTCGATACTCCTCTTTGGTCATTTCCTTCTGAAACTCCAGAAGCCTCCGGGTTCCAACTATTTACATCTGATGCTGCTGATGTTTCAGAAGGTTTAGTTGGTTTGCATCATCAAGTAGCTCCTGGAGACTACACCATGGCTCCTGAGACATCAATGGTTGCTCCGTGCTTGGACGGAAGATCTGATGGTCTTACTAATGATGGACTAGTTGACAATCCTCTTGCGTTTGGTAGAGACGACCCCTCGCTTCAAATATTTTTGCCAACGAAACCAGATGATGCTTCAGCTCAGTCTGGTTTTCGAAACCAAGCTGATATGTCAAATGGTATCCGCAGTGATGACTGGATCTCCCTTAGGCTTGGTGATAGTGCCTGTGGGGATCACGGAGAGCCTGCTACTGCAAACGGGCTAATGCCTACAAGGGAAGGTTCTTTGGATAATATGACAGAGAATGGTTTGTTCCCTGACTCAGACAGTAGACAAGACAATGCAAAGAAGCGAGGAAGATCAGATAATCCATTTTCATTTCCTCGCCAGAAGCGTTCTGTAAGACCTCGGATGTTCTTGTCCATTGACTCAGATTCTGATGAGTGATATGTGTTCCTGTTTTGTTCTCTCTTTCTCTCGGGATGATTCGGTGTTCCTTTTTGATTCTGAAAGCTATGCACAGAACACAGTCAACAGGAGCATCAGACTGCATACCGGAGTTAAGCCTGATTTGAACCGGTATTGATTATTATTATTGTTATGCTTTTACCACATGTTGTTGACTCTATCTTCAATATCGGTTCAGAGTCGTGGCCCTTGTCTGCAGAGGGTTGTATTTTGCAAAGAAAAGCACAGGCTGATTTAGTTTTCTTTACGGAATAGGCAGAAAGTGGGCACAGGTGGTTCCGGTTTGATTTGTTTACTCGGACGCCAGGAGCCATTGAGTCATGTAGCGTTGTAAATTATTGGCTCCAACTTTTATTTATTTATTATAACATAATCAGCTCTTCTACTCCATTGCTAGTTACGTGCATTGAGTTTTCTATCATGTTTCTGGCCAAAGTGCTAGAAACATTTGGTAAATATGTAATTATTTCACAGCCAAAATATCACTGTTCAGGTACATGAGGCATCATTCTGGAAATGCGTTATGGGAGAAATCTCCCATGTGTTTAGGAGCCTTTTAATAGATAATGCAACACAATGCAGTCTAAGTCCAGTATTGTACATTGATAAACTATTATGTTTTGTTGAAGAATTATTAACTAAATGATATAGTGTGATATTTCGGGATAACCATTTGTAGGATCAGTTATAAAAAATAACTAAAAATTTGATCCGCACAGATGTTTGTTTTAAATATCACTAGATTTTGATCCGCGCTTGAAAGCGCGGAAATTTTTTATGATTAAAAATTTATATAATTGAGTTTTGTTTTAATTTAAAGAATGTTTTGATATAAAATCAGTTCACCAAATTTTTTGATGATGATTGTTTTTCATTAGTTTTTAGTTTTAGTTTTTATTTTTAGATTTTGTTTTAGATTTTGGTTATTGGTTTTTAGTTGTTAAGTTTTTATTTTTGATTTTTAGCTTTTGGTTTGTGTTTTTAATTTTTAGATCCGTTAAGTTAGTTTAAACTGATATTACCAACAAACAAATCCTAAATAATCGAATATCTACTTAAAACTGAAAAGATGACAAAAAAAATTTGCAATAGTTTATTTTGTAAATAAAAAAACACAAAAATATAACTTGTGTTTTCATCTTTTAGTTTTGATTTTTTTTTAGATTTTGTTTTTGGTTTTGCTTTATATTTTTTTTAAATCAGTAAATTATTTAAGAAAAATAAAACAATAAATTTTAAAAGTTACCATTGAAATTTATCAAAATAAAGTGATTGTTATTTAAAATTAAAAATACATTAACATGTTTTAAAGTACATGATTTAAATAAATAATTAATAATAGACACTTTTGTTTTGTTAAAAATATTAAATACCTTTTGGACCTAAAAATAATAATTGATTTTTTTTATCTATTAAGATGGAAAGTTTATTCAATACTTTTTGGAGTGTTTCCTTAATACTAAGCCCAAAAACAAAACTATATAATTTGTTCTAAAAAAAAAAGTAAACCCAAGACTATATCTCATAAATAACCATCGGTTTAATTTAAGTAATGCGGTTCAATGAATTATATGGCTTGTATTATATATTTGTAACACTTTAGAAAGAATCCAAATTTAAATGACAACTTGTATCAGTAGATAAAAATAATGACTCTATTTTAATAGAATAGATGTTGTGCAATTTGATCCGCACAAATATATGACAAAATAAATTCACTTTAAACTTAAAATTGTTAATTCCTGTTGTTAATATATTTCAATAATGATAACACATTGCTCAATATCTATAGTATTAAATCACAAATATCATTTTAAAATAGATTCCGAATAACTACCACACTTTGAAAGAAAAAAAAACTGATAGTTTTATAATCAGTTTTGGATTAATAAAGTGAAAACAAACTCATGATTTCTGAAGACAGATCGAAATCTAGTAATCTATTAAAGAGGTAATTTTCATTCAATCTAATCTCTTTAAATTTACTTTCTGGAAACACAAAAGTATTATTGTTGGATATACTATAAATATTAGATATTAGATATGTGTGTCTGTCTTAGTAATATGGATTTGTGTACAAAATCTAAATGTATTAAAAAGATTCACTGCCTTTTTCGGGTCGTTCATATATATATATATATATATATATATATATATATATGTTGATTAATCTTATATCAGTAGCTAATGAGTTATTTATAAAAACTGATAAGACATTACTTACGATTTAATTGTAAAACATGCATTATTGATAACTATGATAAATTTTGAAAATAGCAAAAATATAATAACATATAATAGATGACATATATACTATCCTTAACATGTCATCCTGTAAAAAAATATTGAATAATATAATATTATACTTTTTAGTTTAATATTTTCTTTTGTTAATAGGTACATATGTTTGCTTTCATACTATGTTACCAGTGTATTTGACGTATTACAATTTTTCGTAATTACATTTTTACACTGTGATATCCCTATAAGTTTAATGAAATTGTAAACTTTATATAAATAGAAAATATCATAAATATTTTTTACAGATATATATATATATATATATATATATATAATTATATCAGATTATGATACATAGTAACAAGCTAAATGAGAATATTATTGTCAAATAAATATGAATTTCATACCTTATATTGTTAAAATATAAAGATATTGAAATGTATCAGAATGGTAAAATTGATATTCAAATATAGACCTAGTAAATTCAAATTGACCTTGCTTTTAGATATCTCAAAATATTAATTGCTGGTATGTGATATTTAGCTATAAATACAAAAAGTTTCATCATAAAAACACCAACCAATTTATTATGTTTCCAGTTATCCCTAGAGAAACGATGAGTAAAAGTAGAGATGAAACGAAGAGTAAAAGTAGAGATGGAACGAAGAGTAAAAGTAAAGGTCGCCAAAAAACAAAAATGGTCAAAATGGAAAAAGAAAGTAACCTCCAAGTTACGTTTTCTAAGAGAAAAAATGGTCTTTTCAAAAAGGCTAGTGAGCTTTGCACACTTTGTGCTGCTCATATGGCTGTTATTGTGTTTTCACCTAGTGGAAAAGTCTATTGTTTTGGTCATCAAGATATAGAAACTATAATAAATCACTTCGAAAACAATGACCATCCACCTCTAAACGCACAACCCAACACTGATATTCAAAATCTGAACAATCTTCTTACTCAGGTAAAATTTATTGTGTTATTCTAGATATTATTATTATGTGTGAGAAAATTATAAAAACACTGATCAACAGAGTTGTGATCATTTTTTTCAATATATACGCATATGAAACCCTGATGCCATATGTGATATTCTTTTGTGTTATTTTAGTGTAGGTATATATCCTTATGTTTATTGAAAAAATAATTTGAGATATTACCAACTAGGGGTTTATACATAAATGTTAAAATAAGTTTTTACATTTTTTCAGCGGATGGACGAACAAGATTTACTGAGCAAAAAGAGTGAAGAGATGAAGAAACAAAGAAAAGAATCCAAAACACCTGAGACTTGGTTGAAAGAATACATTAGAGGAATTGACTTAGTTCAAGCCAGTGAATTCAAAGGTAAAATTGCAAATCTGAAGAAACAAGTGTCAGACGAAGCTATGAAAAGCTTACAAATACCAATTCATCATCCAGGCTTCTATGAGGGAAGCTCTGCTAATGCTCATTTTGGGGTTGGTGTTGGTGTTAATATCAACCCAAATCTGAGCATGTTTGATCAAACAAGAATGATGGACATGAATAATTTCTACAACCATAACATGGCTCTCCCTGATTATCGATTATCATTTGGAAACTATAGTAATGCTGAGGGATTTGTTCCTAGATACGGTTACATACTACAGCCTAATCCAAATGGACACCAAAATCCAAGTTCTACAGAAGAAAATGAAGCTGGAAATGAACATCATTATGATGGCCATCCTCCTCAACCTAGATCTGATTAATATTAATCATTTCTGATGTGATTCTGTTGAAGTCTTTAGACAAAATTATGTTTTAGGTTGTACTCATCTCTTCAAAGTATGTTGTGTTTATCTTCTTTTTCAAAATTCCTCATTTCTCCTTGTTAGGTTGTTGTGTTTCTCTTTGTTTTGCTTATTCAGAAATTATGTTATTGTTATATTTTCCTCATTTTTCTCTGATGTATTTTGTTAAAAAAAAAAAATTATAACATCTTCTCTATTAAAAGAGAAGTACCATTTATATCTACTACAAAAAGTCATATTGGACCATCTTATTAATATGACATATTTAATTATTTATAATAATCAATCAAATATATATAATTGGAGGAATATTTTAAGATATTAGTAATAAATTTGTTGAGAAAATATCTAACAAGATCTTACTAAGAAGTTTAAATATTTTTTTTAGAAAATATGCATTATTAAATTTCATGATTAATATATATAAATATCTATATTAATGTTAATTAAAAATAAAAATTGTTATATTTTATAATTTAGTTATATTCTATATTATATTAAAAAATTTCTTATATTCAAATAAATAAATAAATATCACTCACTTTTAAAACATATTAAAGTTTTTAAATCATATAATATTTTTATGCAAAAAATTTAACATATATTTTTCTAACTCACAACAAATACATTATATAAAAAATTATATATGAATACATTTTTTATTTTAAAACTTACAATAATATATTATATAAAAATAACTAAAATTATAAGATTATACAATATATAACAATAAAATGTAAATCATATATATTTGAAAGGTTTTGTTATATTTTTATAAAATGAAAAAAGACCTGCACGGATGTGCGGGTTCAAAATCTAGTTCTCTATTATAAATGGATTTCAATATTCGATTATGTGCACTTCTTCGATTATCGTCTATCATTGTAAAGATAAGGAGCCATGGGCTACGATATGATTGGATTACTGGAGAATTTGAGTTCTAACTTCCGATCAAAAACATTTATCTCCTTTTCATGTGAAACTTACCGATAAGAAGAGAGTTCCTGCTGAGAAATGTTCTAGAGTATTAATTTATACGTATATAGAAGAATATCAAACAGAGTTTACTAAAATAATTAAAAAAAAAATCGAGGATCAAATAAATTAAATCGATGCTGTTAGAAATGCTCATTTTTGAATTGTTGCAGTAGGTTCGGTTATCTTGGTGGCCGGCTCTATTCGAACCCATCTGCAGGTTTCTTTGATGATCCCACATAGTTCAACATAAGGATTAGCTTATAGGTTCATCAATAAAGGAGATTGCTTGTGGCACAAGAAACAACAAAAGGTGCACATAATCTTCTCGGGAAAGTTATGGCTCGATGGGTCCACAACTCCGAGGACATGACTGGCTCACCGGTGGTTAGTGGCTGATGGTCGCGTGGATCTGAGCCGGTGATGCTGAGACGACGCGGCGGCTCCGACTTCACATTCTCTCCTCGTCTCGGTCACATTCTCCATCTTCACGGATCTGCTACATGAGCCACGATGACGGCATATATGAGGCGTGATGACAAGGCTGCTACATCGATGGTGGTGATGAACGGAGACGACATATATAACGTCTCTTCTTTTCACAAACGATCATAGAAAAGAAGAAAGGGATGAAGCAATGGCGAAGAAGGGAAGCCACTAGAGAGAGGACACTGGTGGCTGCGCTCTTTTTTATTGTTTTTAACGAACGAAGAGATACGAGTAATATATAATTAGGTATAGAAAACCTCACGCATAACTATAATAATGAAAACGTAAACGGTTTAAGAATAAATTAGTTTAGTCCAAAAATTAATTAAAACAAGGAAACCGGTTTAGAAAACCGGATCGTTCGTCTTGTTTTGAAGGATCTAGAGCTTCGGCTTATACACGAGTGCTTATGTCTAAGCATGTACACTAGTTTCTTGCTCCACTCGTTGGTCACTAGAGCATGTATTATATCTTCTACAATTTAATAACATGGACAAACGATAACATACAAAGGTTTCAGCATGATCCAAGTTCGTACTATTACACAAGTTATTTATCATTGGAGAAGTAAATCAGTAAACATACCCCGTAGTGGCTCCTGTATGTATAATTATAGAGAACTACGAATAGTCCTTCACTGGTACATGCAGAAACTGTTACGGCTAAAAACAATATGGTCAAGTCTAAGACGTTAAGAAGTTAATCTTCATCCAAGACTTGTGATAAGAAGTTCCTAACCTCAGATGTTGAGTGGTAGTTGTCATTATACTCGGGGAATAACCATTGGTGTTCTCCAGATATATTATAAGAAAAATCAGTCTTGGCATCACTGAGTAATTTCAACAAAGACGGCATGATGGTGTTATTAATATTAAATCCAGTTTTGACCAGTTTGATCACCATATGGTGAACGTGAATGCTTTCTTAGACCATAACATGGCTCTCCCCAATCATCCATTTCGATTTGGAAACTATAGTCACACTGAGGGATTTGTTCTGCGATACAATTGCATTCCAATGCCTAATCCAAATGAAAAAAAAAAAATCCGAGTTCTGAAGAAGAAAATGAATATGGAAATGAACATCATCATGATGGTCATCCTCCTCACCGTAGATCTGTGATAGGATGCTACAAGATGATGATAATGGAACTAAGGCTGAGACTGAAAAAGCAGCTGACATGGCAGTAAGGAAGTTATCAAGTTACGTGGAGTAGAAGAGGTGACGTGTTTTATTTAATTATTTACTTGTTCAATAAGAAAGCTAGTCTTTAGGGAGTTAGTTTCTGCATTTCTACTGCGTTCCCGTTTTGTTAGGAGTTGATACTCCACTTTCCATTATTCCCATTTGTAAGGAGTCCATGACTCCATTTGCTTCTGTTGTTTCTTATTTAAGTCAATGAAAAACATAAAAATAGGTAGTATTAACTACCAAACAAATCTTGTGTTCTTATGTTCTTGTTCATGCTTTGAAGCCTTAACAATCTGATTAAATATTAATAATTTCTGTAGGGATACAGTGAAGTCTTTAGACAATATCTGTTTCATCTCGTCAAAGTATGCTGTGTTTATCTTCTTTTGCAGAATTCCTCATTTCTTCATGTTATGTTGTTGTATTTTTTTTTCTTTTTCTTATTCAGAATTATGTTATTGTTATATTTTCCTCATTTTTCTGTAGTGTTTTTTTTATAAAAAAAATTGATGTTGTAACATCTTATTTTATATAAATGATTTATAAGATGATGTGCACTTTTTCGATTATTATCTGTCATTGTATATATAAGGACCCATTTATACACTGTGATGCCTATATATATTCGAAAAATATAATAACATATAATAATAGCATATATACTTATCCAAATATTTGCATTTATAAAAAAGGTATTGGAGAATATTATACGGTACTTTTTAGTTTAACATTTTCTTTTATTTGTTAAAGCTTTTGCGTCAATTGGTTACATGTTTAGTTTCATACTTTGTCAAGTATTATAAATTTTTTTTAATAACATTTATACATTGTGATATCTCTATTAGTTATAATGACATTGATATCTTTATATAAATATAAATATCATAAATAGTCAAAGATAGCAGATTATGATACAATGTAACAAATTAGATTATAGTCAAATAAATATGAATTCATACCTTATATTGATGGAATATAAAGATATTGAAATGAATCAAAATGGTAAATTGATATTCAAATGTAAGACCTAAAAACATTGAATTAAAATTACTTTTAGATAATTTCAAACATTGACAGCTCGTATGAGATATTTAGCTATAAATACGCAATGTCTCATCATCATACAAACACCAAAAAAACATTTTATTGACCAGATATCCCTAGAGAAAGATGAGAAAAAGTAAAGGTCGTCAAAAAACAAAAATGGTCAAAATGGAGAAAGAAAATAACCTCCAAGTTACGTTTTCTAAGAGAAAAAATGGTGTATTCAAAAAGGCTAGTGAGCTTTGCACACTTTGTGATGCTCATATTGCTGTTATTGTGTTTTCACCTAGTGGAAAAGCCTATCTTTTTGGTCATCCAAACGTGGAATCTATAATAAATCGATTCGAAAACAATGACCATCCACCTCACAACCCACAACCCAACATGCAGCTTGATGAAATCAATCGAAACTCTCAGATTCGAAATCTGAACAACGAGCTTACTGAGGTAAATTCATTGTGTTATTCAGAAATATTATTATGCTTGAGATTTGAGAACATTATAAAAGTCGTAATCTCAGTTGTATTTTTTCCAGTTATTCTTATATTAGCTGTCATAAATAATGTATAATACTATTTAATAATACATATTACTCCATATTAGTAGAGTTTGATGCCATAAGTGTTATTCTTGTTGATATATTTGTGATGTATTATTTTAAATACTCCTAGTGTAGGTATATATGATTATGTTTACTGAAAAAAATAACTTGAGATATTAACAACTAGGGTTTTACACATAACTTTTTTAAATAACAGTTTTTATATTTACAGGTGATGAACAACCTAGAATCAGAGCAAAAAACGAGTGAAGAGTTGAAGAAATTAAGAAAAGAATCCAAAATACCTGATAATTGGTTGAAAGAATCCATTGAAGGACTTGAGTTAGGTCAAGCCAAAGAATTCAAAGGTAAACTTGAAAATTTGAAGAAACAAGTGACACATCAAGCCTTTACTATCTTCGCACCAAGACCTCACCATCCAGGCTTATATGGGGGGAGCTCTAGTAATGCTCCTTTTGGGGTTGATGGTGGTATTAATATCAACCCCAATTTTAACCCGTTGATCAAAGAAGAATGGTGAACGTGAATGATTTCTACAACCATAACATGGATCACCCCAATCATCCTAATCTAAATGAATCTCGAAATGAACATCCTTATGTTGGCCATCCTCCTCAGCTTAGATCTGATTAATATTTTAATCATTTCTGATGTGATGCAGTTGAATCTTTTGACAAAATCATGTTTTAGTTTATCCTCATCTCTCCTAAGTATGTTTTTAGTGTATCCTCATCTCTCCTAAGTATGTTTTGTGTATCTTCTTTAGCAGAATTCTTCATTTCTCTTTGTTATGCTGTTGTGTTTGTTTTTTCCTTTCTTTTGCTTATTCAGACTTATGTTGTTGTTATATTCTCCTCATTTTTCTCTTAAAAGTATTTTTTCTTCTTCTAAAGAATGTTCTTATACATTTTCTTTTAAAAAGCAATTTAATAAAAAAACATATAAATATCAATTAATTTTACTGAAACCTTCAAGCCTTGCACACCATCTCAATAGCATATTCAAGACCTCAAACCAACCAAATTCATACGGTCCACACATTCTGTAAACTCACAAAACTCTCAAGAGTAATTGAAGTACATGAACACCAGAAATAACACAAAAAAAACAAAGAGAAAGACAAAGATGAAGGTGAAATACTTTATATCTTTTGTAAGCAAAACACACTTGAAAGAACAAAAAGTAAAGACGCTTTGTTCTGGTTTGTTAATATCAAAGTCTAGTGACCGTTGGAGAAGAATCAGGCTGGCTCACAGAAGATGACTTTGACGCTTCCATCATGAGGGCTGCTTGCTGTAAGCAACTCTTGTCATCATCATTCGCATTCTCCACTTCCTCTTTCGTGTATAAATGTATCTTCAACACCACGCTACAGAAATCACTATCCACAACCAAAAGTCTACAACCTCTTGTTGAAGCATTCATATTAAGGTCGCTACCTTCCTGCTTTCCCATCATATCATTCTTGAATGGTAAGCCACCTTCCTTTTGTGCACCAAAGTTTAGTGCACAAGAAGAGTGACCTACGGATTTATCTCCTGCTTTGTATGGATTCTTATATGGAATATGCATTCTCTTTATCCCTTGTGACGCTAACGGATAGAAACTTAACTTGTTGGCTTGATAAGCAAAATGGAGCACTGTATCCACTATTGGAGTTTCTTGAAGCAGCAACAAGTTGAGGGGAGCCTAGGAAACCTATCCTGGGGAGTAGAATCTACAAACTCGCCAAACCTATCCTTCACTCTACTTGGTAAAGAACTGGATTTGCATGGGACTGCATGGCAAAATCTAGTATCGGTGGTTCATAACATCAATTCCCTGTAAGGGTGATGATGCAGAACCTAAATTTTCTTGACCTTGGAAGACCTTAGAGGGTCTAACCGACTCCTCAAAGTCCAAAAAACCACCCCTTCTTTCTGCTGCGAATCAAGAACATTAATCAGTCATCAGCACCACTGAATAAAGAGAAGAGATGTGTATTTGGTTTACCAGTTATGGAGTTTCCTTGTGGAATAGTAGTATCCAGTAGACCTGCCCAAGGCCTTTTAGAGCATGTGCATCGCATGCAAAAGTTGGGGCGCTTAGGAAAAAAGTGGGGGTGGGGGGGCCACAGAAAAAAGAGAAGCCGACGCCACAAACTCTCCTATAAGCGCTTTTTTCAGTTGGTGCTTGGCCTGTTTTGCGGGCCCCACGACACGTGGCGGCCCGCAATTGGTACTTTTTTTTTTTTAAATCCGAAGAAAACAGAAAAAGAAAAAAAAAAAAAATTAAGCACCCCCTAGTGGGGTGCTGGGATAAACATGCTCTTAGGCCTTGGAGATGACTGAATGCTTAAGGGTGGGACATAAATCAAGGGGTCAATCTCCCAAGGAGAATCTCTTTCTTGGTGATCATAAAAGACTCATCCCATCTCACCAACAAGGAGAAACTCTTGCTTCGTGATCACTCTTTCCCATTTTTTACTACTAAGCCGATGTCTAACAATCAATGGTGAATTTTTTTTGTGTGGTGAAGTTTCCATGATATATTATAAGATGTTTTGTATGCACTGTTAGTTAGCCGATCAACTTCCACATTTATACATTAGATTGAACGCTCAAGAAAATGTTATCAATTAAGTTTTTTTGGGTGATAAAGGAAAATATCCAAATATACAACAAAAACACGCATAATGGATTTGTTTTGAAAAATATAATAAACAATTAACTCTACTTATATTTTGCTATTTACAAAAAATATAGAAATTTTGTAATAGAGATGAAGTTTAATATATTTATAAATAGTAATAATTTATTATAAAGTGATAATAGAAGAATAATATTTCTTTCTCTATTTGTAGAGGGAAATAATAGTCTCCATTCTAGAAAAAAATATAGAGATGTTGGCATGATTTGACTCTAAATACAATTATAATTACAAATATAGAGGTAAGTTAGAAATGCTCTTTGATAAAGATTTGCTTTGAAAACTAATTTGATAGAAAATATTATAAAATGCTGTACGTATATAACTCCTACCAATATTACACTCCCAAACAAATTCTACAATCTTAGACTTTTGGTTTCTTTAGTTATAGTGGTCAACTTTAATTTATTTGATCTAATCTTATGGATTGACCTTACTTTTAGACACCGAATATAATGCTCCTCCAACCATAAGTTTAGTTGGTCAATTTTGTATCTTTATTTAGCTATCGCCTTAAGATGTTATTTATCACAATAGAAACTATATATGAATACTATACATTTGAGTCTTTAGCTTCTTTAGATCTGATAATGAATCATCTCATTATATTTATATTAGTTATTGCTATGTGTTTAGGTTTGAATGAAAGTAAATCTGGATGCTTTCCAAACACTGTAGAGTTTATAAACCAACTTGGACCTGGCAGTATACTCAAAGTCAACTGCACCTCCAACACAAATGAAAATAAAGGTGTCCGTGATGTCAAATTCAATGAAAAATACCAAATTTCATTTAATGAGGCAGGGAAGGAGAGAATAGTATGGCGTTGTCATCTGAGGCAGGGTAAGAAAATGGAGCATTTTCAAGAAGTATGGAGACTTTATGTTACAGCGCTTTCAAAATGTGGTCAGATGCGCTCATACACTGCTAAACTTGATGGGATTTACTTAGTGACAAATAATAAACCCATCAACCCAAAACTTCTTTGGAAGTAATGTGTGTGTGTGTTTTTCTTTTTTTTGTTCTTAAAGACTAATCATTTTTGAAGCTGAGTCTTTTTTGGTGTCATGTGCGCTACATCATTTATTTATCTTTTTGGTTGGGTTAAAATATACAACGTATAATAAAATACGATTTTACCTGATATTCATATTAAATAAATCTTACGCATAATGTATTTTGTTTTCCAAAAGTATAATAAAGATTTACTCTAAAAACTAATTTGATACAAGTATAATATTTTTTTTTCTTTCTAATAACCTCCTCTTTTTCTCTAACATATTTATGCCCCTCCAGCTTTCGGTGTTTCTTTTTCCGTTTTGTCTGATGCTTCATATGCTGCTAAGAGATATCTTTAGTGAAGATTAAGTTGCGAATCGTGAGTTAACTTTTGATAAGTTTATTAATTTACCGCTAGTATTTTATTGTTAAAGGGTTTTAATTTACTTAATACTGTATGTATCCAGATTAGCTAGCTCTTACCTTATTTTTCACAAAATAAACATTTTTGTCAGCATCACAAAAGAAACTATAATATGAAATACTATTATTTGGGTTTTTGAAGTCTCTAGATCCAATAATGAATTATTTTATGCTAGTTATATTCTTTGGGATTTTGCTAAATTATTATGTGTTTTGGTTTGCTACAATAAAAAAAAAAGTTATGTGTGTATGGTGTGAACAAAAGCAGAACAACTGCCCTCTCACCACTTAATTTAAAACCAAAATGAATATATCTCCACACGTATATAGTCTCTTTGAATACAAAAACAAAATTCACTCGCAGAAACTGAAGAAAAAACATTTGGGATTCATATCGCAAATTCCATGATAATCAACATGAAAATAACACTCCCAAAATCATCACATGAAAGAAATCACTATGTGCGTAGGAGGAATCACTCGGTGCGAAGATAGTGATTCAGTTGTCGTTGTGTTAAGCTGACCATAGAGTGGGTCCTGATGGAATCAGAGCGGCTGGCTGGAGGATGACGGTGTACGTGTGTTGCATGGATATATATACTTGCAGTATTTTTCTACAATCTTAGAGCAGCAACATCGAGCGAAAAAATAGTTTCATACATCAAAGAAGAAAAAAATGAGAGATGAACAATAAAAGAAGAGAGCTATAGAAAAGGGTATCTTATAAGCTTGGGCATTTTGGATACCCTTCTAGTATGGATAAAACTCATCGGGGTATCGATTTTCTAAGATCTTGAAAAATAAAAATCATTTGGATATTATAAGAAACTGGGTCGAGTTTGATTTGGTCCTTCCAGATCTGGGTGGATTATGTTTTTAACCGAACTAGCAAAGAGAGCTTTACATATTAGCGTACTTTGGCTCTGCTAAACTAACTGATTTGGGTTGGAAATTTTATATATAAACTTTTAAACTTACCCAAAAATAACTAACAAATCCAAATACTCAATAAATATGGTTTAATTTGGTTATCCGAAAGTAATAATCATTCGTACAATGTGATTTGGATATTTTGTATCCACAACATCCATTTCTATTCATAAATATCCAAATAATAATAGATTTAATTTGTAATTTACTTTTAGATATTAATATAAGTATAATTATAATTAATATTACTAAATATATGTGTATGTGTTTAGATGTTCGTTCGGTTCACGGTACGGATCAAATTTGGTGTCATCAAATTTGGTGTCGGATTTTGAAAAAATACCCGTTCAAATATAGACTGGGTCCAATACAGTTTGTTGTCCTGATTTTTGGATCGATTCCAAATCTGTTTTTTGGATGCGAATATATAGTCCTAGTATATATAATGATGAGAATTTCACAATTTATATAAAAAAAAAAAGAGAAAGCAATACTTATTATTAAACTGGTAAGATATTGAGTAAAGTATATCTATGTTACTAATGCTAAAGCTAGCGGTGAGCTTAGAGTGAATAAAATCAAAATTTATAAATATTTGTAAATATTTAAATGTTTGTGGATATCTCTTTGTTTAATATAAGTAAATCTAGAAAAACTATATAAATTTGTTTTCAAACGCATTTTTTAATATATGTTTCGTTTTCAGATATCCAAATTTATCTATTTGAAACGAATAACATATCAAATTAAGTTTATGGACAAAATGCCCTGCCCTATTTCTAGATTTGTGCTTCTTAGTGGTCAACATTAATTTGCAATTTAAGTTATTTGACTTTATCGTATGGATTTACCTTAATTTCGACACTGAATGCTCCTCCAACCCGTAATCGCTTAATATTGGTTTCTAAATTTAGCCTATTATCTTAGTTATCACAAAAGAAACTATAAATACTACGCTTTGGGTCTTTGACATCTTCAAAACTAAAAACAAAAACAAAAACAAAAATGAATAATCTCACTATTTTTTTGTTACTAATTGTGATGTGTACTAGTTTGAAAGGAAGTTCTGGATGCTCTATTCCAAACATGCTGGAATTCAAAAACCTACTTGGCGCTGGTCGTATTCTCAAAGTCAACTGCACATCCAACAGAAATGAAATTCTACCTATCCGTGAAGTAAAATTCAATGCTATATACGAGTTTCCGGTGAGGGAGAAAGGGAAAAACAGAATAGTATGGCATTGTCATTTACAAGATGGTAACCATTTTTCTGAATTATGGAGAGCATACAGAGGAGCGCGCGTCGCTCGATGTGGTCAGATACGCGCATATATGTGTAAACCTGACATCATTGACTTAGTGAGAAATCTTAGAGCGACCGATCAAACTCATCTTTGGCATTTGAGACGTTTTTAAATAATGTGTTCTTTCCCCTATCATTTATTAAGCTGTGTTTTTTGGTGCCTTATGCGCGCGCTGTCTTTCATTTTTCATATTTGGGGTTATAGTATACAATATATTATAATAAAGTACTGTATCAGTCTTCTATTAAATAATTATTAAGTATGATTTTATTTGATATATGCATTGTATCAATCTTCCAAATTATTTTATTACAAGTTTTTAGAGACTAATCTTCTATTTACTATCTTTTCTCGTATGTTTGTTTTCAATTGTATGATCTTTCAATTCTAAGATCTATAATTTATTAATTTACAGTTCTATTTAAAATTGCCATGACATGTTTAAAATTTGAAACTATAATATATGTTATGACTAAATAAGTAAATATAAAAGCACAAGTTAATATGATATACTTAAATTAAACCAACCTACTGTTAAACTTTACAGTGTAGAACTTCTGTTAACCAAAATCTAAACCGCAGTTGTGTAGAAGTCATAGGAGTTGTGTAGCACGAGTCATAGATTTCACCGGAGCTATCCCGAAGTTTCCAAGTTTTTTCGATAAATTCTTTAATAAAGAAGGTTATATGAGAAGCAACAAAAGCAGAGAATGCTCCCAATTCTTTATGACTTTGATCTCGCAATTGACTCGAATCATGATAAACTTCACTGTTTTTTTTTTGAGAAAGGGTTATGATAAACTTCACTGTTGTGCTCTCATGTTGATGACTAACCCAAGTATAAGCTAAGGACTAAAAAACTTTTTTATATTACGGGCTGGATTTTAGAATATAGGCAACAATTTCTTTACCAATCGTGTACACATGTTATAGTTTCAGGGAGCGTGTGAAATATAAATAGTATAAAAATGTTTACATTATTTACAACACTGTCAACCTACTATGATCTTTATGCTTTTTTCTGATTTGATTATGATTTGCTAAATCACTCATTAGTATATTACTAAATAATCTCGTGGATATAATCTCAAAGTGGTCAATTATTTCTAATAACTCATGATGCAGAAAAAGTAGTTCTAGAAAACTAACAAAGCGAGAACCAATCATAATCAAATCAGAGAAAGCAGAATTATGCAAATTAAGGAACATCACAATAACAAACTGGGAAAATATTTATCTTCTTGGCTTTTATTACATTACTTATTTTGAGAAACAAAATAGTTGCATATAATAATTTTCCATGAATATATAATAAAAAATAATAGAAGTTCCCATATCTTACTTCTTTTCATTAGATATCAGCAAAGAGTGGTTCTTCTTGAGGCTTAAACCTGCAGAGTCTGCAACTCGGCGAGAACAGAGAAAGCGTCTGATATTTATCTTCTCCTCCCATCACAGGCATTGGAACTCCACTCTTAGCGGAGCTAACGTAACCAGGACGGTAGGTTTTCCCCAAAACCCCCTCAACGAGCTCACTTAGGTCAAAGAACTTGAACTGAGTCTCAAGATGCGCAAAAGCGTCATCTTGTGGCAACTGATAGTTGTGAACTCTGTTCTCTTCTTTCCCTATTGGTCTCACTTTGATGTCAATCCGAACAAGACCAGAGACAAGTACTCTCACGCTGTTTCTTTCGTCTGTTCTTTCAATGACGATCTCTCTTTGTCCTGAAGTTTCCCTCCATTCTGATTGTTCGTCTTCAGGTAGTGTGATGAGTTTGTCGTTGTGTCTGATGGTGAAGGCGTCAGAGTTTTCTTCCCATTGAGACACTCTGTTGGCTGTGATCACGAGGTTGTGGTTTTCGAACATGACGTTTAGGGCTTGAACCCATGTGAAGTCTCTGGTTCTCCCAGCGGGTCTTGTACCGATGAAGTGTGCGTTGATTTGGAGGTTGTTGTCTGAAACGATGGCGAAGTTTCCTCCTTTGGATCCATGGAAATAGAACATCCTACCGTCTCCTCCGACAAATCTAGGGTCGTAGCATAGAGAACCGTAGCCGTTGCAGTTTGGTTTCCTCCCTGTAAGAAAAAAAAAGAGATTAGGGTTAGTTTGCGTGGTTTGTAAGTAAACATGTTTCCTTGTATGACAAGTAAACCAAATCCACAACTAAAATCCATGTTCTTGTTGCATGGAATCCTAAAAAAAAGGAGACTTGTTGAATAGAATGTACGTACATTTGCATGTAGCTTCACATTTGCTAGTGCAGTCAATGAAACAACCTTTGGTGCTTTTGTTCTTAGTGGGCTTCCTATTGGGACATTCACCAGGACAAACAAGAGTTTTGTAATAACATGCACCTTGACCTTGGCACATGGCCTGCTCTTGTCCTGTAGGCAAAGGTGAAAGCATCCTGTATTTAGCAGCCGCTTCACTCTGCTCCTTGTCCTTCTTTTCTTTGTCCTTCTTCTCCTTCTTGTCCTTGTCCTTCTTTTCCTTTTCCTTCTTGTCTTTGTCCTTTGGACCATTACCATTACCTTTGCCTTTGGCATCATCTCCTCCTTTACCCTTTTCAACTTGTCCATCATTCCCCTTGCCGTTATTACCGTTGTTGCCTTTGTCGCCATTGCTCTCAGCAATGACAATTTCGGTCAACAGAAGTAATGCGAAGAGAGCAACAAGCACAAATGACTTTCTGTGCTCCATCACTCGAGTTCAACTCTTCTTTGGTTCCTTAGTTTCTCAAGATGTTTTTGTACTTTTGGTGTTGTGAAAATGATGTTGCAGTAGGAGGGGATTTTATAGAAGTGAGTTGACTTAATAAAGCCTCATATGATGCTAATATATATCCCTTGCTTCATAGTAAGAAAGAAGATGACTCTTTGAGTTTATCTCAAGTCAAAAAGTCTACCTAATGAAGCTTCAGCATCAAATCTATTAGCTAGAAGAGTTACTTTAATTTAACGTACGGATTTAACAGTTCACATTCTTGTTTCTTAAAAGTTTCAAGATCAAAACATATTCAAAGTAACCACTTGAATAAGTTGCTGACAATTCAAAATTCATTTTGATTTTGTGTTACTCTAGATTTTTGTTTAAACTCAACATTTTCACCGTTTTTTTTTTGCTCCAAGTAACTTGCTAATATCACGAAATCACTAGGTATATATGAATCCAGATAGTTGCTCAAAAAAAAAAAAGAATCCAGATATAAACATATAATCTAACTGTTTGTTCTTAATGCCTTAAGATGCAAGGAACGAGCAAACTAAAACGTGCAAGATGCTTTGGAAGAAGAAAGGCCATTCATATCTGTAAATGTGTGCATATTAAGAAACTTTTCTTGACTTTCATTGGATCACAAGCCGCCCATTACTACAAGCACCAAAGAAAAGTCAAACGGACTAAAACAGTTGACTGGTTTACTATTAACCAGTTTAGCTTCTTAACTCCTGAACCAAAAACCAAACCGAACTATACTATCAATGTCTTGTTCTGTTCTTCTGTTAAAGAAGTTGCCAGTTTTCTTTTCTTTTTTTTGGTCAAAGACCTGTCACAGTTCACAAATTGAACCAAGGAAACCGGTTTGATTCAACGGTATACAAAGTTGTATCAAGAAAACAAATACATGACTCACTGTGAATCTTTCTTGTGTGCTAAAATGCAAACTAGCTTGCATTTTCTTTCCAAAAACATCAAAAGAATCTGACACTTTTCTATTGTTTTTATTTTATTTCAAGAGTAGTTAACTCATATATAAGGAATATCAGGCTTAGCTTGCTCGTTACCAACACTAATGTGTGTATGGACTCAGACAAAGGCTTTTGATGGTGCAAGTGGCGACAACTCCTTTCCCCGTTGGTTTTGTGTTTTTTTCACTGCCCCACGATTTGGTATTCATTCTAATATTTCTGTTTTAGAAATTAGGTTCTTTCCTAAATTGATATCTTAATATTTTCTCGGAAAAAAGTATAAAAGCATAAAACATTTTAATTTTACAAATATACAAAAAGAACCATGTTCATAAGAAAATCCAATTTGTAAGATTTAAATATGTTTAAACAACTGTAAATCAGTTTTTAAATCTGTTCAAATCAATTAAAATTAGTTAAGAAAAATTATTTAATCAAGTGATGATGTTAGTAAAAATCCAGAAATTGGTCTCATTTATTTTGTTTTGTGTATGTAATTTTGATAATTTATCAAAAGCTTATAATTAAATCAAAAAAATTAAAATATCTTAATTTTGATAATTTATCCTTATAATTAAATCAAAAAAATTAAAATATCTTAATTTTGATAATTTATCAAAAGCTTATAATTAAATCAACAAAATTAAAATATCTTATTTATATATAAATATATATTTATATAAATAAATAAATAATTCGTTAAAATTTTGGTTCCATCTTCCATGTATAAAATGAATAATCTATGTATAACATAAATAAAGAACTCGGTAATGAGGCAAATTATATTTACAAAAATACATTAAGTATGTAAATACACATTAGCTGTCTCCTTTTTAGTTGTCCAAAAAAAAAAAAGCTGTCTCCTGTTCAAAGAAATAAAAAATAAAAAATTATATAAAAGGGATAGAGAAGGGAATCGAACAAAGCTCTTTTCTTTTGTGTAATCTCACGCACGACTCTGAGAGAGACAAGGAGAGAGAGAGTCCATCGTCTTCCATCTTCTCCGATCACTTCGAATGTAAGATTCTCTCTTATTACCGAACACCCAATCTCATTTCTTTGTCGTGCATTGTTTTTCTTCTCCCATCGATTTTTTTTCTTTTCAAATTAGGGTTATTTGCGGAGATTCTAGATTGCAAAAAAAAAAAAAAAGGGAAACTCTTTTCGTATCAATTGATTTTAATTCACTAATCAAACACACAAAGTCATTAACTTTATTAAAATCAGCCTTGTTAGTGGTCGTTATCAGCGAATTTAATGAGTAAATTTGACACCTTTATTATTATCTGCAGAAGCATCTTAGTTATTGAGGCTATGCAGTCAGCTAACTCGTGAAGAAGATTGCAGCTTTGTTAGAGACACATGTTTCATTTGGAATGCTCTGTCTCAACTTGTTTTATTCATCTCGCTGAGTGGCATCCTTTGGATTCGTTAAACTTCATCTTCTAAACCCCTTTTTAATCTCAACGTAAGGTTTTGATTTGTATTCAATTATTTGGATCCTTAAGTCGTCTTAATGTAACTTTTATTTTTTGTGTACAGGTTTTTCAGTTTTATTTGTTTGTTTTTATTTTTGGGAGAGGTAGAGATCATGTTTCGTGATAGTCTTTGGTTGTCCCGTATCATTGGTTGCTTTGGATGCTTTGGCACTTCTACTAGAACCCGGCAGTTGCCTGAGCCAATCCAAAATGATACTCCTTCTTCTAGTAGTAGTGAGTCATCCACCAGTTCCAGAAGCGAAGATGAAGAAGAAGTAGAGCAGAAGAGCCGCTCTAAACAGTCTGACGAAATTTTGAAGTATAGATTAGATCATGGTTTAATCTGCAGGCAGGTTCCGGTGAAAGTCACTAATCAACTTTTCCGTGGAGAGGTATAGTCAATTCTTTTGCCTCTTTTGTCTAATGGTGTGTCTATGTAAAATTTATTTTGTTGTTTGATTTTCAGGATGAAGATGGTAATAAGATGATTAATGAGTATGTTCGTGAGTGTAAAATTGGTTCTGGTAGCTATGGAAAAGTTGTAAGTGTGAAACTCATTTAAAGTTCTTTTAAGTGTATCCGTCAAAAGCTTCACATACCATTTTTGTTTTGGTATTTAAAATAGGTTTTATATCGAAGCTCTGTTGATGGTCAGTTTTATGCTATTAAGGTAAGGTATTATATAAGTTTAATTGATTGCTCATGGGGCTTAAAGATCTCTGACATATATTGATACACTAGGCGTTTCACAAGTCGCAATTATTAAGGCTAAGGGTTGCACCTTCAGAGACTGCTATGAGTGATGTTCTTCGTGAGGTACTCATCCATTCTCTGCACTGGTTTCATTGTTGAGAAGTTGTGTTTACGCTCCTCCTTTGTCTCATCGTTTTTAGGTTATGATTATGAAAACTTTGGAGCATCCTAACATTGTTAATCTCATTGAGGTGATAGATGACCCTGAAACTGATCATTTTTACATGGGTAAACTCATTCTCCTCTTCTCTTTTCTGCGTGGAAAGAGCCTCTTATCTTACAATATTTGTCTCTCTGGTCTCACCTAGTTCTCGAATACATTGATGGGAAATGGGTTTATGACGGTTCTGGACCGCCCGATTCTATCGGGGAGAAAACTGCTAGAAAGTATTTGCGGGATATAGTTGCTGGCCTCATGTACCTTCATGCTCATGTATGATCTTCTTTCTTATGTATGCTTCTCTTGCTTCATGGTTCATTACCTAATATACTGTCTTGATTTTTAAAAACAGAATGTGATTCATGGGGACATCAAACCTGACAATCTGATGGTTACTAGTAGCGGTACAGTGAAGATAGGAGACTTCAGTGTCAGCCAAGTGTTCAAGGTAATAAAATGATACTTTCATCATCTTGTCCCCTAAGTGTTAGCAATTCAATTGGTTGTGTTATTACAGGATGATGATGACCAACTGCGTCGATCTCCAGGGACTCCAGTGTTCACTGCTCCAGAATGTTGTTTAGGTCAGCTTCTCTCTCTAACATCTTTAAGCTTGGTCCTAGCTCATTAGTGTAATAGAGAATAAGCGAATACCTTTTTGTTTTCGGATTTTCAGAATCAGAATCAGGTGTAACGTATAGTGGCAGAGCTGCTGATACATGGGCAGTGGGAGTTACTTTGTGTTATATGATATTGGGACAATACCCGTTTCTTGCTGATACTCTTCAAGACACCTACGACAAGGTAGGGTTTCGGCTTTGATCAATGCGTTTTTCTTGGGGATCAAGAAAGCTAAACGTCTGACTATTTATCTCTGAACAGATTGTTAACGACCCTGTGGTACTCCCGGATGGATTGGATCCTCTTTTAAGAGATTTGATGGAAGGTCTCCTTTGCAAAAGTGAGTTTCATGTTTTACATCATTAAGCTACACGCCTTAGTTATGTTAGTGGACTAATGATGGAACTCACCTGTTGTTGTTGCAGATCCGAGTGAGAGAATGACACTGAAGAAGGTGTCGGAGCATCCTTGGTTCCTTGGAGAAGACGGGCATGTTCTTGAGTATTTTTGTTGCTGCAAACGCAAGTCTGCCTTAAAGATTAAACAACAAGAAGAAGATGCTAATGGGATGTCTGAAGTCTCAGATTCTAGCTAAAAAAACTTTGGAAGGTTTTTGATCGTTTTAAAATGTACAAGCTTGAAACAATAGATGCAGGAAACGTTAACATCAGGCTATAGCATCTCCTTAACCGTACAAGTTTGCGAATTTGCTGTCATTGTTTATTCCTTTGCTTTGATATAATAGATAGTTGTCATGTTATTATGTGTTGAACTATAAGTTTTCAAATAAATATGACTGACAATGATTTTTGCTTTTATTGTATGGCTCAATTTTTTCGTCCGTGGATGAGGTTAATGTAAGAGCATGTTTATCCCTTGATCCTTAAGTAGGTTTCTTAATAATTATTTAATATTTTATATATATTTAAGTGGACTTAAGAACTCTACTTAAGAAACTTCCATTTTGAATGGTCCAATGGGAGTTTCTTAATTTAGGGTTCTTAAATATTTTTTTTAAAAGATAAATTTATTTATTAAATAAAGCATATTAAAATAAAACATTTAAAACATTATTTAAAAAAAAAACATAANTTTCTTAATAATTATTTAATATTTTATATATATTTAAGTGGACTTAAGAACTCTACTTAAGAAACTTCCATTTTGAATGGTCCAATGGGAGTTTCTTAATTTAGGGTTCTTAAATATTTTTTTTAAAAGATAAATTTATTTATTAAATAAAGCATATTAAAATAAAACATTTAAAACATTATTTAAAAAAAAAACATAAAAACAAAAGATTAGTAAAAGGTATGAGGTATATTAATAGAATGTACAAGGTTTTGTTAAAGAGAGATCGTATAAGTGACAAAATCAGCATGAAACGTTTGTGACCCACAGCGTGAAAAATATTATTATGTATTGTTCAATATCTGCCAACTGAGTCACATGAAACGTTCAAATATCATTTGTAAATGAAGTGAGATCAACCCAAGATGGGGTCACTGATATAAAAATAAGAAGCTTACTTGATCTGGTCAGGAGAACCGCCAGACGTTGCATTTGATACTGTCCATGCAGCTTCTTTCTTTATATCAAACTCTGCATTCTGAAGCAGAATGACGAGGGGGCAAATCAACCCCGCTTCACACACAGCCTGCATTACAGAAAAAATATTAGACAAGATGAACACATAAATCTCTGAACACATAAAATTTCTATTTAAACAACAAAGGCCTTCTTAATGCTCTTGTCAATAACATACAATATTCAGTAAACGTTTACCTGAATCTAGTCCTGTTTCCAGCAGTGATGTTTGAGATTGTCCAGCAAGCTTCCTTCTTAATGCTCTTCTTATGGTTGTGAAGCAGAAGGCTCAAAATGCCAAGGAGAGCACCATGACTAATTACACACTGCAGTATAAAAATTCATCAGCTCAGAGCCAACCAATAAAAAGTAAAAGAATTATGTAGATCCCATCCTAGAAGTAAATCTCAATTCAACTTTAAAGATTAATGATATGAGCACAATTAATATATTACTAGGACAGCCTAACACATTCTCAGATTCTAGTACATGGAACTCACAAAACAACACATGATTGATTTATCATCACCACTGAATAAATAGAATTCATAGATTCACAACTAACATTAAGAAAAATTAAGGCTGCATGAACTAAGAACAATTACAACATAAGAAGTGAGAATGATTGTACCTTGACACGCTTAGTAGAAGCGACTTGTTGGACTTTATGAACAAACTGATCAAACGAGTAGTAAGGTAGCAGATGAGAGTACCACTCACTGTACATCCTTGTCAAATTCCCCAAATCAATCAACAAAGCTTAAACAACCAATTCATCTATGATAAGTAACAAAGCTAAAAGAGAGAGAAGCGTGATATCGAACAAAGAACTGAAACAAGATGGTGAAGCGAGCTAGAGGAGAGATACAGTCTTGCTGCAAGGGCCAGTGATACCTCCGGCGAGGAGATTCTCGACGGTGCCGAAACGCGACTGCGGCGGCTGTTTTTGCGATAAACTCAGGTCACATGAATTGGAGGAGATTGGATTGCAGATTGAGATTGGAGAGATCGACATGGGAGAGATCGACAGAGGAGAGAAAGAAGAAAAGGAAAAGAAGAGAGAAAGAAGAAAAGAATGTTTTGTTTGCTGACACGTGTTCCTAAAAACTCTCTAAAAATCGGTAACGGAAGTCACCATTTAAGGATCGGTAATTGCTATTTTCTTTTATTTTGATTTAATTAAATGTACTTAAAAGTCTAAGAAACCCATTAAGGATTGCCGATAATCATGGTCTAANAAGAAGAAAAGGAAAAGAAGAGAGAAAGAAGAAAAGAATGTTTTGTTTGCTGACACGTGTTCCTAAAAACTCTCTAAAAATCGGTAACGGAAGTCACCATTTAAGGATCGGTAATTGCTATTTTCTTTTATTTTGATTTAATTAAATGTACTTAAAAGTCTAAGAAACCCATTAAGGATTGCCGATAATCATGGTCTAAGTTCAAAATACTTCTCAAGCTTCAACTCAGCAAAAGTCAAAATCACTACAGCCTAATTATGATTATACAGAGCATGAGTTTACGTATGTTATTGTTAATGGGTGAAATATCAAATCTTATGTATTATCGTCATGGGATTTTCTCAAAATAAAATGGAACCAGATCTTTTTTCATAAAGTAGCTATAAATTAGTTGATAGAAGCTACCATTTTACCAAATAAATTATAGGCAACGGTCAACAAAAAAATATTGATAATGTTAAAACAGTACTACTACTCATCTTATTCTTAAAACTCTAGTTAGGAGACAAAATGTTAGGGATATAATCTAATAAAATTACTTTTGAATTTAATAAAAAATTGTCAAGAGGTATGATCTTTAAGAATGAATATTTAAAATTTTCCAAAAGAAAAGACAAAAAAATCATGGCTGCGTCAGAAAAAAATTCCCACTAAGGTCATTGTAATACAGGTTTATATTTAAGTCTACTTATTCTAAACAATCTTCTAGTTGATTCTTACTCCCCCAACAATGTTGGTCTTCTAGCTTGATGCTCACGTTTATTTACATGGTCTATAAATTGTTACGTATACACACACACATGTACGGTGTACTCATACACTTTGTTTGTATTATTATTATTATTATTTATAACTACATATTATATGGTCAATTCATGTTTGCTAGCCTGCGGTGAGTGCAAAATTGTAAACCCTACATCCATTCAAACCTAAAATTTGGAAAATCTTAATCATCAACAATTCTACGGAAGTATAAATGTATTATATAGCCTTTACTAAACTCACCTAACCTGCTCACATAAAAAAAAATTATCAAAGATTTTTGCATGGAATAACTTTCAATCTAGGTTTAAGATTTGATTTGACTGACAAATAAAACTTCAAATATATCTATACGAAACGTTCGATAAAATAAGTTCTTGTGTGGGGACATTAGATCAGCTAATAGAAAACGTATAGCTTTCTAATTTAATTAGTGGATCGTCACTAACTATTGAGCTTAATTTCTATAAACACATGCAAAAAAGCTTATTATGATACATGTAATTATGTAAACATAATCATATATTCAATCATTACAAAAAGAAACATCTCTATAATATTATTTGAGAAGTCAGTTTCATACGTGTCGCGCTCACGTTCACTCTCGCGATGGTTGATTACATAGATACCCTTAATGAATTATTAGATTTTAAGATTTTTTTTTTATTTATTTTTTTTCCTTTTTCCAAATAACATATATAATAAAAAGGAAATATTTCTAAAATTTTAAAACGAAAATATATGTATATAATAGGATTTTATTAAAATGGAAAGTTCACAAAATAGTAATACCCCCATTAATATATATTTTAAATAACATAAATATATTTTTAAAATAATAAAAATATATATATGTTCATGAACATCTAAAAGTTTACCAGTTACACTTTATTTTCTAATATTTTTTAGAAATCAACATATAATTTGATAAATATTATGAAAATACATGTATATTTAAGCAATAAATAAAACTAATTTGATATGACTTAGCTAAAATAAAGAGTAAATAAATATTATGAAAATACATGTATATTTAAGCGATAAATAAAACTAATTTGATATGACTTGACTAAAATA